ATTGTAAAGTTTGGAGATACAGGCACCTTTATGTTTGTAAGCGTGATGCTATATGAAGAGTGGTCTTTGTTCATTGCGAAGTAGCTTGACCCTGATAGAGCGCAAGATGTGCAGGAACGTGTTTGTGTAACACACCTGTTTTGCATGATTGGAAGCGTCAATGGATGATATCTTATGCATTGTTTCGGAACAGGCACGTATTGGCAGTTAACAGCCACTTCCTTCCAATCCAAACTTTTGGTCATTCAATGGCATGTGAACGATGCTTCTGCTCCAAGCATTTATTTTCCTGATTCAATTGCCTTGATCCGAGCTGATTTGACTGAGCTACGGTCAAAGAGAGATTACATCAGCCCATAAACGCAGCATGCATAGCTATCTCACCGGACGTACCTTTGTTTGGGTGTAGCTAAGCCAAATCAGCCCGCATCAAGGCAATTGAATCATGGAAGTAATATCTGCAGCAAGAGCATTGTTCTCATGCAAGTGTAATTAAAACCATCCCATGTCTTTACTACCATTATGCTATATGATGTAAACCGCTACCATTTGCGAAAAAGTTGTGATAGAAAGGTTGCAAAGCAACAAGGTGATTTCATTATTGCAAATACTGGCTAACAAAAGCGGCATCATCAATACTAACAACCTCGACCCCATTGTCTTGGAGCTCTTGCATTGTTGATTCAAAGTCGTTTGGAGAAACGGCACGGGTGCCTTCCTTGACGAGGATGGTCTTGAAACCAAATTTCACAGCATCGAGGCATGTCATCTTGACGCAGTAGTCAGCTGCCAATCCCACGACGATCACCGTATCCACGAAGTTTTGATAGAGGATCTTTGCTAAGGAGGTGATTTCATGATAATCATTGTCGGCGAAAGCGCTGTAGGAATCAACATGGTGGTTTTGTCCCTAACCTACCTCGTCAATGAAACCATCATGATGAACAAAACAACCTAATATATATATACCTTGTTGACAATGTAATCGATCCTGCCACTAAGGATGTCTTTTGCCAGCTCTGCACCAGTAGATCCTTGCTGTATGCATACATGAAAATGAGTCATTGATATTTTATATAAGGGATCAACGTACCACGCAGTGTGTAGGCCAAAGGATTTGCTGCGACTCACGTCCACGATACTCGAATTTGATTTGCTCAAATGGTTGCTTATCCGCATGATTAGATGCAAAGCTGATATGGTTGGATGGATGCCAATCCTATATGCAATGCCATGAACAATCCATTCCACAAGTTCAAAGCGTAGAGGTGATTCTATATATCCATGATGACATACCTTGGAGGCAACAACAATGCGATCCTTGGTGTCGTTGATAAGCCTGAGCACTGCTGGCATAATTTGACTCGCGTTGGGTACAGCCAGGGAACCCTTTTCCATAAAGTCGTTTTGAATATCCACAAGAAGAAGAGCAACAGGAGCCTGGATCAGCAAGGTTAAAATGAGTTCGCATGGAGGTTGTCCATTGTTCCATGTGGGCTTACCATGGCAACAGCAGCAGCAGGAGCAAGGAGAACGCGGGGTTTGTAGGAACAAAGAAGACACGGTCGACTCGTCTCGTTGGATCTTTATTTCTTTCTTGTCACCCGTCAAACCACCACACAATGGACATTGAGCAGTTCTTTAAGAATTGTCGCAACGTATTGGATGCCCATGTAAACGCTCGGCAACACTGAGAGGATGGCGCAACACGCGTACTCACACACCTTGCGCTTTCCATTTGCAGCATGATCGTCGTGAACGTATTATCAAACTGTCAAGGTATACACATATCCCGAAACAACGGTTTTATCGACACGAACTTGTACTCAACAACGATGGATAGAGATATCACGGCTCAGAGCAAAAAGATGATCTTTGCTTTACACAGGTAGAGGTCAAGGGTATACGACGCGTCTCTAGGTCGGCTAAAGAAGAATTATCATGTAGAGCTATTCAACGTGGTACCGATTACAAGGAGGCAAAGTCAAAGCAGGATGAGATCATGGGCTTATTTCGACAACTTGCACCTGAAGTGGAGGGTCCCAATTATGAGAGGTGAGTAAAGTGATGGATCTATCAGCCAAAAATGCACTAACATGCGTACGTATCATTGACGTAGATATGCCAGGAGCTTCGCTGGTGCGTTTGAGGAATTTGTAAGTAGTACGCGAGCTCATTTATTCTAGCAGTTGACCAACACACTCTTTTCTCTTTCAGATCGAAGGCATTGCATTCTTCCATTATCTTGAAAAGGGCACGTTGATCACTAAAGAGGAAGTGGATAACTATTTCAAGGATGAGGAAGGAAAGCAGGCAAGTTGTGAAATCGTGGGGATACCTGGTTCTCTTTAGTAACTTGGATTTTAGTGGATCGAAGTACGAGCCCAAGATTATGTGAGTTGTGTGATCCATGATTTTCGCACAAGGGGATGTTACTTAACTTTGGTGTTAGGTGTTGGGCTTGGCTGATTTCACTGGCGAGTTGATGCGTTACGCTATATCAGCTGTTACATCTGGGAATTACAAGCATGCCATGGATATCTGCACGCTGTTACGGAATATTAGCACAGGTATGACGGAGGATACATTTTATCATATAGGAGCGAGCGTCTCTTAACATGATGTGTAGATTGCGAGATGCTTGCCGGATCATCATTACCGATATTGAACAAAAAGATGGGAGCAATGCGAGCAAGCGTTGGAAAGGTTGAACGAGGCAAGTATATAGCAACATCCATTACACTATATCTTTTGACCTTACACGACATGATGACAGCTTGCTATGCATTTCAAATCCGAGGAAGCGAGTATCCCAAGGAGATGTATCAGAGCATTATCCGCGATCAGCAAGCACGGTTTGAAGAAGGACGAAAAGGAGACGATGATGCTTGATATAGCAGTAGTGGTTGGAATTTTATAATACAGCAAACAACATTGTGCATTATTGATGTTGGGGAAGGATTAGAATGATGGCTACCAAATCGTGCACTTCTTCTTTGGATTCATTGGGCTGCCAACAGGGCATTGGAAGGCTTCAGCAAAGGGTGGGAAGTTTTGCATTGCGGCATTAACGCGCACCTCGGGTGGTGCATGTGCGTCTGTATAAGCCTATACAGCATAACGTTAATCCACTGCCTATGTTGTTCATATCCTCTAAATCGACTCACGCGATGCAATGCATATTGGGGTTGTGATTTAGCGCACCATGTTCTTGCAGCACCGAAAAAGAATAATTGCTCTGGAGTGAGCTCTGAATGTGGAAGTTTGATGTATCCATCCAACTCGTTCTTAGTCAATGCTTCATCCGCCCATACCCCTTGAAGGGATTTGTATGCAGCAGCCAGACCACCATTGTCAGCCACGTTCTCACACAATGTGAGCTATACATACAATGAACCATTGTTATGAGCTTGTGCGTAATGATTAAAGAGATCCAGTATACTAACCTTCCCATTTACATTTGCTTCTTCATCATTGGGTCCTATTACCTTGAATTGGTTGTATTGATCAATAAAGCATTTGGCTTTCTCATCAAACATTTTTGCAGTATGGTTCGTCCACCATTGTTGAAGTTGTCCATGGCTGTCAAATAAGCGACCTGTATCATCAAATGCATGCTACACGTATACCTTTAGCGCGTGACATCTCCAAATCCATGTATGCATTTATACGTACCGTCAACTCGTGGCCAATCAACACGCCAATAGTACCATAGTTGATGGAAGCTAATGCGTTTGCGTCATATACCGGGTGTTGAAGGATGCCTGCAGGGATCACAATCTATGGAAGGGGGAAAAATTCAGCGCATGTAAACAACGTCAAGACATCAATGACCCTATGTACATACAGCGTTAAGAGGACGTATTTGAAAAGCATTGCCAGTATGTGGATATACAATACGCCAATCGTTTTGATCAGCCGGCTTGCCCACTTTCACCCATCGTTGACCTTGCAAAAAGCGCGCTATTGCAAGTTCATCTGCATAAAAGTCGTTGTTGTTGTCATGTATGGCATCATGCAATGTTCGATAATGGGCATGTAGGGATGATGGTGAACGAATATCTGGGGATATGGTGTTGTATCCAAGGAAATGACGGAGCGTACCCAACTACGACATGTCATATCATCAGTGGCATGATGCAGGACGCTTTATGATGGTTTACCTTATCAAGTGCTTCTTTGCGTGTGCTCTCATCTAGCCATTCAAGAGCCGTTACACTTTTGATCCATGTATTGTGTATGTTAGTGACAAGATCATCAAAATGGGCACGCTTGTCATCACCACCAAACGACTTCATCACAAAGTAACGCCCCACAAGATGACCAAAGCCAATGTTGGTTCTCGCCACACATATCTCCTCTCGGCTCCTAAGGTTTGAATTCCCTGTTTTCACTTTTCCATAAACCTTTTGTAACAGCTTTTGGGTCTCGGTATCCAATGCTGCGATCCATCGAAACATCAGGTGTAATAAAAAGTAATCCTTCAAAGCCTCATCAGACACCTGGTCGTCTTGAGTTATCCATGCGACAAGTTGTTCCAAATACGATGGAGCATACACAATGACTTTTTCAGGCACGTCAACATCACCAGGTATAAAATGACGTAGGTATTGTTGCCAGGCAATGATGGGATATTTGGTTGTCAATGCTTCCAACGTCATGGGGTTGTGCCGTTTCATAGGATCCATGAGGTCTTCACTGAAATAAAGCTTGGTTTTAGAAAAAGTAATGCTCTCTTCTTCCCACTATGTAAGGAGAAGGATTGTGTACATACGCTTCCGTTGCCATGGATGCAATTTTCGTTTCCACGTCAACGGCACGTTGCACCATTGCTATGGTTTGCTCTCGATTTTCATGCAGCTGTAAATCAACTTGATGCGCCTTGTCGATCCATAGTTGTTTATCTGGAGAGAGCACACGTGTGACAAAGTCAACCAATCCTTCCTGATAAGCTGCAAGTCTTTCGGGTTGGGTGTAGTATCGCTTAGATCCCAAAGTCAATCCAGGCTGGCTAATGACAATGGCGTATTCTTTTGGGCTCGCATCGTTGGGTACCACATCAAACGTAATTAATGGACTTGTACCTTCCTCTGCAGCCTGTATAACCAAATCCGTCAAAAATTTCAAGCGTAAAGGAGAAGGCGAGGATACAAAAGAATCATCTTTGTCTTGCTTAATGAACCGCATAGTCCCTGATGCTGCTTCTTCATCACCACTTGGCATACTCTTGGCAAGCTTAGATAGCTGGTCGTAAATAGGAGATGGCCCACGTTCGTTCAACGTGTCCGTATCCATGCACGAATGATAAAATCGCTGCATCGTCTCGAACATTGTCTTATCCATGTCACGATCCTCTATTGTAGATGTAAATTGACCAGCTGTCATATCTTGTTGGAGCAAATCTTCATAGCTTTGTTCAAGTATCCCTTGGATAATGAGAGAGTTTTGCTGATTGATGTCGCCAAACGTGCTTCGTTCTTGTAAAAATCAGATCCATGGCTCATAATTTCATGATCTAATTACATTGCCGTTACCTACACGACCATCAGGTATGCTTGCATGCTTGATCCAGTTACCACCTTATTAAGAATGTTAGCGTTCGAATAGCGTTGTAACCTTGTAGTGCTTACAAGCATATTGATAAAAGTCGTTGCATGGATCGACGTCATAGTTGATATAATCAGAAAGCGATTGTCCTAGTTGTATACATGTATTCGTAGTGCATTCGGGAATTTGGCTTGCATTCAAAGTGGATCGCAGCATAGGAATGTCAAAGTTAACGAAAGAAGTCGCGTTGTAAAGGGGAAAAGGAGACCTTATATATACGACACTTTTGTGTTATGTACATCTCATGCAGCATGCATGCTGTAACGCCAAAATCAGGGGGATGATAAAAACCAGAACCTTTGTTCATCCACTAAAAGAACCCATCTATGCACGTGATGCAACTAACAACAACGACCTTTTTGTTTCTTTTCTATGTTTTATTAATTGGATGAGAGAAGGGGACGTCTTTCATCTGATGTCGACCTTGATCGCATGTCAGCGAGTTTCTCTTTGGTATGATTAAATTTCCTCTCTGACCACTTTTTCAATCCATGTAGGATGGGGATTTGAACTTCCTTTACACGCTCTGTACGTAATCGATGTTTGGTATCAATCACGGCGTGCAAGCATGACTACAATGAAGCATGTTTTAATCCACCATAGTACGCACAAACAATTTCATTCTTCTTACCGCCACCACACCCAAAACGGCAATGCCTGAACTAGCAGTGATCATAAAAGAAATGATTTCTTGGTATCGCACCGCATTCCAAATCGGTGCTCCTCCTAAAATTTGACCTGTCATGGTTCCTGGGATAGTGATTAAGCCGACAATGGACATGCGGTTGATGGTAGGAAGCATAGCAAGCCGCACAGCATCAATGGCAATGGATCTTGAAGCTTCAAAACGTGTGGCACCAAAGGAAAGGTATGTTTCAATCCGGCTTTGGTTTGAAGTGAGCTCCGATAAACACGCATTCAAGCTAACAGCCATAGAGCTTGCAGTGATGCCTAGTAATAGGCCAATGGATGGAATAAAGACTTCAGGTAACCAAAAGTTTTGCTCTCTCATGGCATAGCGTGTGCCAACGATCCCGATAAATAAGGTCGAGAATGCCGTGTTGACAAGCACGGACATAAACTATATGCATTGTTGTTGTTGTTATTATTCATGCATCACGAGAACCCCTCTTTCCCCCGCCCCATTTGACCTTCCATCTTACCATCCCACTCCAAGCTTGATCAGCCTTGTCATAAACAGTTTCATACGTGCTGAGAAGTATAAGCACAGCTGATATCCTCGGTAGTTAATAGGATAGCTACTCGTGAAATTGTATACATGGCTTACCCGTTAAAAATGCAACATAGTATGGGCTTTTGGCTTCAAAGACGTCTTGAAGAATCAAGCCCTGATTGATGATGATGAGGACGATGCGTAGTATACATGAGATGGGTAAAACGTACCATGACGCTGAGCTGAAGTATACAGCGTACGGAGCTGATAATGAGTGGGATCTCCAATTTTAATTGCATCATGACCGAAATAACCACTATCGTATCAATGACATGAATGCATGATTCAACAATGGCTGCATGGCTTGTTTTTGTCGCTGTTTTTACCATTCACCAAGATAAATGTGGAGGCGACACCTACATTCCACCATGTAAAGTTGGCTGATATGCGGCCCCCGTCACCGCCAAAGATGACCATCCACAAGTCTGTCATTGTTGTTTTTTGTCGAAAAAGACGTATGTAGACGTGAATAAAGAGGAGGAGGATGTCAGTTATGACGCGCGGGAACAAATGAAAAACGGCATCAATGGGTGATCGGCTGCATAAATATCCCCGAACATCCCTTCGGTTTCACTTTTCACATATTACCATATAATGATGGGTGAAACAAGGAGTTTTCTACCTGCTTGAACACCTTTTTACCATGCTTGTATGTTGTTCATCAAATAAAAACCTGCTCGCATGCCGCTATTGGGAGCCCACGAATTTGCTGGTTGTGGGAAGCGTCATAGTTGCATCAATGTATGGGATCAACATGATAATGACGACACACATCCTCCTCCTGCCGAGAAAAAAAAGTCCTGGCATAGACGTGTTACAAACATGCTCTTGTTCTGCTGACCCTATATACCCTCGTGTGCACGACTTGACAGATGCACATGACAAGAAACAAGGCGGCTTTTATTTATTGAACCGGCAAAGTGATATCCAAGATTGGATGAGGTGGGGGGGGGGGTTCTCAAGGTCAACGTAGGCAACGAAAAAGGGGGTTGGGTACAATAATGGATAAGAGGTTGTCTTGCAACATCTTTCTTTTAGCTTTGCACAAAAGACAATAAGGTTATTAATTCTCCTCATGCATCATCTCAAGTCGACTTGAGATTGCTCTTTGGGTCACTTTCCATTTGTAGCTTTTATTATATACCGCGTCAAAGGTGGACGCATTGGGTTGGGCTCATGGTGATAAAAAACGACTATTGTGTGGTGTACCTAACACAACCACAGTGTGTCTCGCTCCAATCTCAGATGCAAGGTGTTGTACTGCTGTGACTTTAGACTCTTAAATATGACAGCTTTATTGGGGGCATTCTGATAAGTATATGGGTTGATAGTTATACAATAATAACTGGCGCTGAGGATCGTTTGGGGATGGTTGATTTGTATGTGATTGTTGACGACTAACGTTTTTGGCATTAAATGATTTGAAGCTTCCTCTTGAGCCGCGCTTTTATTCTCACTGGGGTAGGACTCCTTGGGTGGGTGTCACCTCATGTTACTAAAAAACGCTTGTACTCCTATATGTAATAGAACTTGTTCATGTACATCAACAAGCGCGTGATCTCCAGGAATATGAAGACAAGGCAGCTCGTATACGTCAAATTGTAAAGGATGGCCTGCTGCTTGAGAAGCTTGCATAAAATTGCCAAGCCGTGTTTGAAGCATAGCATTAGCATCCGTTTGCTCTCGCTCTTGTGGTGATGAAGCTGTCGTACAACCAATGTAGCGTACGAAGACATCTTGGTTGCCTTGTATACCAGCAAGGATACTGTTGTTGAAAGCTTGCACTAGGAAGACCGTAAAGATGTTGACCTATAGAGGGGTTCAGTAAATCACCTAATACCAATAGAATGCTTTAATAAAACATACCTTCCATCTGCATGCATACCCAAACTCTGCAATGCGAAAGCTTGGGATGTTTTTGAGCTCCAACGGCCTATCGATCCCTTCAATGATCCACCCGTCGTCTCCAAAAAGGCCGAACGAAAGGACAAGAGAAAAAGAAAAGCTTGTGCAACCCCCAAGTTTCGCTCATTCCATTGTACGAATTATCAACTCGAAGCTGAGCGAGCTCCTCGCTACGACTTGGTTGGCTGTAGGTCATGTGGATCAGAGCAAAGAGCTGTTTTTGCAGCTCCTTGGCCCTTGTCAACCACTGCTTTCCTTCATCATGATTCCAATCGATTATACCATGGTCAATTCCGTCAATCATCTTTGATCAGGCCACAGTATTGTTCATAAGACTTATGAGGATGGCTCCATTGATGCGATGAAATTGGTTTTGGGCTTCTTCCAGAAATGAGTAACCTGGTGTGCGCTTTGCCATCGATGTCAACGAATTCATCCGAGAAGTAAGCCATTTAAATGTCTCTGTTCTCTTGTAAGCAAGCGAGCATCTCCCTCTTGACATTGATCTTGATCCCCTTTTTTCACCCAATAGGCAATCACGCGAAAACCGTAAAAGTAAAAACCATCCGATTGGATCGGTACAGTGCTGACAACATTCTCCCGTGGAATGTCAGGGTGAACGAAAAAGTCTAGGTCATGACGAGGATAATGCCTATAATCCATAATCAGACAAGCTTTGAATGATAGTTCCCTGTAGATCTTACCTTTTTCTTTCCTTAAGGCTATCGAGGGGAGTCTTTCCTTTGGGTCTCTTCGCGTGTCGAGAAATCGTGAGGTACTACACGCGCCATTCATTAAAGACCACGTGCTTGATGCTTGTCAGGACATGAAATAAACGAGGATCCAATCAGAGAATAGGTCTATTTCTTTGTCCACGTGGCCGAACGCATGATACTCTTCATTGATGGTGTAGTAGTATAGGAAAGCAAATAAATGTTCATGTTCTTCTCAGACAAAGAATAGCCGACGACCTTTCCACCCACCTCCTCTCTAACATGTGTGCATTCAACAATCAAATGATCTGGAAAAGAAAAAGAATGAATAATAAAAAAATACCAAAATATATACATAAGAAGAATTGGGAATGGGTTGTGTTTGTTAAAAGAGGGAGTTACGACGAGATGTGAGATGGATGAATGGATTGGGAGGTGGGGTGGGGTATGATGGGGTGGGTGGTTGTGGTGGTTGTGGTGGTTGCTATGGATTCATGGTTGCGATGGAAATGGGATATCGGAGATTCTTTTACCCTTGTTCCTTTTTGACACTGGATTCACAGTAATTGTGAGCCGATGCAAAAGGTCGTGGTCGACGTACTGCAGCTACATGCGGCTTTCTTGTAGGGAACGATTTACGATTGGGGTTCTTCAAATCCAACAAAAGGATGCCTGTGGGTGACATGCTATTGGGTGTTTGATCTTGCTGTTCCTGTTTCAAATGTTGTTGTTGTTGATGAGGTTGCAAAGCAGCTGATCTTTGTAGTTTGGCACGAAGGGCTTCCATAACCTTTCCATGATCAAGCTGTGGTTCTTCAGGAGCCGTGGTTTGCTGTTGCTGCTGTTGCTGTTGCTGTGGTTGTTGTTGCTGTTGCTGCTGTGGTTGTTGTGATTGTTGTTGCTGTTCATCATCTGATAGCTGTTGTTGTTGAGATACACGCTTATTTCGTTTGTTGGTGGATGTTTTTGGAGGACCTTTTCGCTGTGATCTCGTTCTTGAAAGAGTTCTTTTGCATGGTCTTTCACGCGGAGCTGCATGTGGCGGTGGTGGTGGCGGGGATGGTGGCGTCAACGAATCCGTATGAGTAGTTTGTGTATTGGGTGTTGTGGTGGCGTTGTTGTTGTTGTTGGTGGTGGTGGGAGTGGCGATGGTTGGCACATTTAAGCTGTTACGTTGACTCGAATTTGCTTTTTGTTTGCTTGGTTCAGGAGATGACGAGATCGTCAGTTGCTCAAAAGGCACATCAAACATTGTATAGGGCGAAGGTGGTGGCATGAAGTTTGTAGGTGAAGGTGAAGGAGGTGTCTTATCGACATGCTGTGACATCATTGGTAGATTGCTGCCGCCGTTGTTGAACCAAGCTTGCGGCGCCTCATTATTCCCAAGCGCGTCTGCCAAACAAAAAAAGCGATTAGATGATTTACCTGGAAATAACAATGATAATAAACTTACCAAATCCTTCAATCAAATCACTCGTACGACGACTATGTTGACTGCTTCCTTCGAGCAAATCAAGGTACTTTGCTTGTAAACGAGCTTCTTCAGCCAACCGTATCTCCTCTGCTGCGCGTCGCTATAAGGGGTATTTGTCATGAGTTGCAAAGTCGAGTGAAATGGGGATGTATTTACTTTGTCTTCCTCGGCCTTTGCCATAAGAATGTGTTTTAAAAGTTCAGTGTCATGCTGATAACGTTCGAGGATATCGGCCACACCGAGATCGGCTAGGCTGTTCGGGCGGCTTTCATAAGGAGGAGCAGGATCGATGACTGGTTTCAAAGGATCAGCTGATGGTTGTGGTTGTGACCAAAGTGATGGATAATTTGGATTCATGTAATATAATGAAAAAGAGGACGAGAGAAAGAAAGAAAGAGAGGGTAAGAAAGAAAGGAAAAAAAAAAGTAGTGGGAGAAAAGGAAGAAAAGGGAAAGAAAAAAGGGTCGTACTCTCTTTGCTCTTTCAGTTGTAATCTTACATCACCTGGCTTGCTGCAGCAAGGTTTGAACGCCGCTCACCTGCTTTGCTGCTGCACTTGTTCATTTGTGTGTGACAGGCTCAACCCCCTCTATTCTTTGTCCTTTTGATTATGTCTTGTTCCATAACTGAAGCTATCAAGGAACCCTTGAAAGTCATCGACACCTTGTTCGGTATACAAATCAACACACCACGCTCTCTCTCTTCGAATCGCAACGTGCATTAACCTGATCCCTCTCTCTCTCTCTCTTTTGTTTTATTGCAATAACAGCCGACTACATTCAAGATCCTGCAGCTACTCCCAATGCGTTTGATCCTTCGCAGACATTTGCCGATCTGTTTGCCAATGAGGAAGCACGTTCACAGGCAAGTTCCTTATTCATTCTTTTGGACCGTACAATAAACGAGAATAGCAGTGGCTGAATATGTCATTCCACAGATTCCTTCCATAAATAACACGCCTGTGAAACAACTTCCTAAAAATACGTTGGTGCGTTTCCGATGCATGGTTCAGGACACTGGTTTGGGACAAGAGATGTTCGTATCAGCTTATAAGGATCAAGACAAGGTCATGTGTTATCGATACACTGAAGATCCCGTCGATGTCAATGTATGTATCACTTGAACCCTTTCGGAATTTGGATCGTTTTCAGTAACCGTTTTCTCTCTAGTTTGACATTCATGATATCCCAAGCGACTATCTTAGCGAGCGTACTCTTGTGTATTGTGTATCGCCACCTGGAGAGACTCAATGGTTGAAGCGTCGTCTTTACAAGGAGAAGGAGGGTCTTGAATCGGCTATGGATCAATTGCATATTTCTCAACAAGATCAACAACAACAACAACCACAGCACAAAAAGTATCCACTTCCAAATACGCCCCACGTATCCGCTGCTGTCAAGTTTTACGCGTCAGCTGATTCCCTCAGGGTCGGTCAACTTGTTGATGTCATTGGTGTTCTTGGCCATCACGAAGCACCAGAAGAAGGATCCATGCAGCATGATGCCATTGAACAAGCTGGATTCGATGCTTCTCATTTATCTTTGGAGAACATTCCTGTTGTGCATGCGATTACTTTTCGTTCATTGGATGAGGGATCGAAGAAAAAGGCCTTTGATTCTCAACAAGATTTGCCTCACCATGATATTCGTGCCAAATTGATTGATTACCTATCGACGGTCTTGGGTGGTGACAAGCTGGCTGCTGAATTCTTATTGTTATCCCTTGTCTCACGCGTGTAAGTAAACGTCCCGTCCCATCCCATCCATGCTTCCTGTGGCTGCGCGCGCTAATAGGGGTCCGTTCGCACTTTAGAACCGCAAAGAACCGAGGTGTCAAAATTGGCCATTTCACACTCAATCTTGTCAATTTCCCCGATACAGCGGCGGCAAAACAGTCGGCAAGCAACATGTACGCGCCTCAGAACAATGCAACCAAGCTCCTCGCATCGCTTTTGGAAACACTCGTGCATCATTGTGTCGCATTGCCGCTCAGCATTGATTTATTGAACAAATCCAACTTTTCTCCAAAGAGTGTCAATGAGAATCTCGAGGCTGGTATGCTTCAGTTGACAAATGGTACAGTGGTCCTCGTCGATGAAACGGCTCTTACAGAAGGCAAATTGGGTGATACAGGTAATATGATACATTGTCAAGGTGGTGTGGCCACGTGATGATTGACCATGGATTGAATTAGGTGTTCGAAATGTGCAGGCCCTGTCGAATATCATCAATCATCAAAGCTTGAGTTACATCTTCCCATACAGCCAATTCGACTTTGATACTGATCTTGTCGTACTCACCTTGTCTCATGGCAAATCCATGTTGCCGGTATGTCATGACATGTTTTTATCAACACACGCACTCACTCTTTATTGTTAGAATCATTGCACTTTGCGTATTGAACCCCAATACAACTTGGATGAGCTGCCTCCCATGGATGAAGACATGTTGGATTATTTCAGAATGTACATTGAAGACCTTCGACATGCTGAATATGAGATTCCAGAACAAGTATCCGAGGTAAGGGAACAACGATTTTGGATAGACAAGGCAATTCAATCGCTCACACACATGCTCTCTCTAGTATATTCAAACGACGTTCGTAAACGGCCGTAAAACAGCATCTGCTAATGGAACCCCATTGCCATCACAAGATGATTTAATGTTGCGTGTGAGTCTCGCAAGAATGGTGTCTTTATCTTTTGGTGAACGTGTATTGAGCAAGGAATCGTATGATCATGCAATGCGGTTGGATACCAGTCGAAAGGCACGAACAGGCACTCAAACTACCGGTGAAAAATGAAATGCTTTCTTTGTAACTAATCTATAGTAATTCTATTCTCTTTTTTTATCCTTGCCCTACATATACATCATTGTTCATTTCTTCATCAGGAGCTCTGTTCCAATAAAAGTTCTTCTTGCATCACTTACGCTTTTTACATGCTTCAATGGCATTGGCAACCTTGGCCGACCCACTGTCAACATAATAGACAAACTCGAGTGCACGTTGTTGGGTTTCCTTTGGTAAATCAATAAAGGGTCCAAATAGTTCTCCTACAAAAGCAATGTGTAAGAACGACGATCATGGTGGTGCTGGATCCAAGCTTACCTTTGCTTGCAATGTTCACGTAAAAGAAGGGTACCAGGGCTAGTTCAGTTGCTTCGAGAGACTATAGTCGGATTGGTTAACAACATGGCATACATTTCAACCGCGTTTGCACACCTACCTTTTTCTCAAAGATATCTTGATCACTGCGTTTGGCAGCTTCACACAAAAAGTTAACGATAACCTAGCAATAGTGTAAGTAAAAGGAATCCACAACATTGGTCTTTTTACTTACAGCACTTGTTTCAGGATGGCTTGTCTTTAGCTGCCAAAGTGTCTTTGGTAATCCGAAAATCCAGTTGTTCATAAGGGTACGATAACGATCATCAAGCACAAATCGGCCGTTATAACTAGGACTTGATTGGACCTGCTTTCCATGTAAATACGACTACTCCTTTACATAATCAATGATAAGACTTACCAGGTATGTGCCAATCAAAAACTCCAATGCCGTTCGTTTCAACCCTGAATGGGCATGGCAGCGTTGATAATAATCCATAAATGTCTATATATATACACTTCAAGTGTGAGTTCGGTTGTTGATTTGCATGAATTGTGTATACCGACCTTGAACATAGTGTATTGGTTTTTCCTATCAAGACCATTCAAGAAGCCCCATACAGCGGGTAGCAGTGCAGATAAATCATCTTCTTTAAAGTTGGACGATGTCCTTTCCTCCTATTGAAAGAAAAAAGATCAGCCTTTCTCTTTTCAATATCCTTCCCCAGGAGCTCAAACTTTACCTCATAACCCAAAAGACCTAGCACATGATCCACCACCTTGTCGACCCATTCCAAATGATCTAGGCTCTCTTTTCCTCCTCGTGCTAACTTGGCAAGCATGTACAACGAGGTCAACTCGCATGTTTCAATATTCATTTGTCGGAGTAACGCATTGGCCTTGGGACCACCATCACCAAGAACGTCTGCACCATAGGGGAAATACACCACGAAATGTTTCAACAAGTGATGGCAGTGTTTCTCAATCCAGGCATCATCCACCGAGTGAAGCTCGTCACTGCTTACTAAGGCTCGCCATAGCACCAATGTCAAATGAAGGACGGCACTCAAAAGCTGTAGTGCTGGTGTCAATGTGATGGTACTGCTCGTTGCAAATACGGTAGGTGCAGCATCCAGCCACGTGCTTAATAAAACCGGTTGAAAAGTCTCAATGAGGAGCTAATGATATTTTTGTTAGCACGTAGCACACACGTACTCGAGTAATCTCGTTCTTACCTTGACCCTCATTTTACCATCCTCATTTGAATCCATGCCAAGGACTTCGTCAGTTTCCTTGTTATTAGCATTCTTGGGACCAGCAGATTCGAAAAGGTTCAAAGTGGGGAGAGCTGAATTGGACAAGTAAGGAGCATAGGATACCAATTTGGGATGCGTGATTTGGCACGTTGTCTGAAAAAAGTCCATTGTCAATTAGATAAAACATTACTCTCTTTTCTCATTTCATCACGAACCGTTTTCTTTGTATCCCATCGAACCAGATTTTGTGTCGAACATGACTTGAATTGCTCTATCTTCCTCCTGAATCCTTCCTTTGCTTGTACATGATCCAAAAATGCATCCAGGAACCATAATCTTAATCATTCATGTTAGAGAGAGATATAACTCATCTTTTGAAACCTACTTGTCTTGATCCCTTTGTGCCAATCCAGCTTGTAAAAATCTTGATAAACTTTCCACTGGACCCAGTTTACTCTGTATTGATCTATATAAGTTGCCTTGTTCCCATCATCATACCCAACGCGCGTAATAGCTACCTTGTGTAAATGCAAATGTGATTTGGCGGCAGCTGCCTTTGCTGATTCAGCATTAGTGATTTTTGATCCTCCAGCGATACTGGAACCAGCATGGTCATTGGTCGACGACACCGAAAGCAGGCTCATGTAGATACCCACCACCTAGCCAATTGGATAACGGTGAGAGGTCACGTGACTTTTGGCAAGGAATGATCCCACTACTTACTCGATTCCAAAACCTTGACACAACCACTTCAGGTGCAAGCGATACCCATAAATCCATCAATTTGACTGCATCATTTCGAATATCCTCAAAGATGTGTGACATGGCTGAACACGTGTAGATGATAAGTAGCGGTAAGAATGGCTGGATATCTGCTTTCTTGATGGAAGGGAATGTCTCTTGCAAAAATCCAAGCAATGCTTTCCGAACATCACGATCCTAATTCACACATTAGATACATGCATGTCTTTTGATCCCTCAGCCATCCTCACAAACACTCACATCATCGATCAATAATTTCAGGATACCATTCACCACTTGGCCAAGAGAAGCAGTAATCAGCGTTGGATGGCTACGATAAAGCTCTTCAAGACCACTGATGGCATCTATAAAAACAACAACATGAGCACATGATGATAGAAGCAATAGCGGACGTTTGATACCTTTTCGTACACCAGCATTATAGTGCTTCAACTGAGACAAGACGTCGTTGAGTGTCAGGTTGCGGCTCGTCGTAGCGAATCGGGACTTGTCCTCGGTAATGCTTTGGTTGGGAAGTGCAATGCCTTTCAAGATCCATTGTTAATAACAGCACAACAAGGGGGCGATCGACCGATTTACTTTTTGATCTGAACGTGGTGTCTGTATAATTGTCGGGCAACGCCTTCTTCTTGCCAACCTTGAGCTTCTTTTTCTGCATATATGTGAACCCGTGAAATGTCAGTAAAGTCAAAGTGGTATTGCATTGGCTACATGCCTTGAAGTCTTCATTCTTTGCTTGGCGTTTCTTTTTGGCGTTTGGCATAGTGCTGGTGGTGGAGGTGTGGAAGGAGGATGAAATGAAATGGGCGAGTGGGATTTGCTTCCCGAAAATGCCTTCATTGGCTGGAGGCTTGCAACACTGGCCTTGTGCCACTGACACCAAAACCTGCATAAAGTAGAGCATCCGCGTATCAATCAAAGTATACTCGAGCTAAGGTATGATTGACCACACCCTGCAGCATGGTATACTATGCTAACTCGAGATATGGTCAACGCGTTGCCTAGCTACCATCTCCCAAGGATACCGTTGCTTTGAATTTCACATCACAATGGGTATTGAAGCATAAATAGATTTAGACAAGAAGCCAATGTTTAGTATAAAATGACCAATGCTTGGTTCCTACGATCGTATAGACAACCCCTAGCTAGCATAAACTCGAAATAAAAGTAATCCTGGCTGGCACCATCATCGACAAAGTGGGGTTTCTTTGTTCTCGAGAGTATCCAAGGGCATAAGGTTGTTGTATTCAAAGGCTTTAATGACAATGACAGCTGAATCCATGTTGCTAGCACTTGTAAGAGTTGTCTTGAATGAAGACGACGCCATACACTGATTCGTAGCGTACACATGCAGGACCTAAGCTGGATGATGGGTTACACAGGAATTTCAACGACTGGAGATTGGACAACGCGTACTTTTTCTTTCAACCTTGTTGCCATCATGAAGCTCGTTCACATTGGTAAGGGTGACATGGCTTTGACCCACGGTAGAAAATAGCTAACAGCGCGTAGTCATTGCCAAGTTCAAGCCTGAAATCAGCGAAGAGATTCGTCAAGAAGCTTGTAACCATGTTCTCCGCCTCAAGAATGATATTCCTCAGATCCTGACGTGTACTGCAGGCAAGACTTTCACCGAGAGAAGCAAGGGATATGAATGGGGTAATGTATAGATTGAATAGAAAGGATGAAAGAAACATGTCTAATATACATTATGTATAGGATGGGTCGTTGAGCTTGAGAAGAAAGAGGTATGTTCATGGAACAGCATGATGATGATGATGATCATTCTCATTGATATTGAATATAGGATTTACCCGTGTATGCCGAGCATCCTGCCCATCAAGGCTTTTTGACAAAGTACAAGCATATGTTTGAAGACTTGATTGCTCTCGATTACATGTGTTAGGTTAGAAGTCCCATTCGCTTGATACATAAAATGATTATCCCATGCGAGACAATTTCCTTGCTGGTTGCCTTGGCAATGTATTATTTGACTTGAAGCACCGTTGGTGGACACAACTTTATGCACACACACACACATACACTCCTCCTCGTTTTGGACCCATCGTCAACATCAGCATGCCCGATCCCAAATTGAGTCTCACAGCCATCTATCAAGCGGCTCAACAGCCAGCACGAGCATCTCGTTTACGTGAAGCATTGCACACGACCGATCCGCAGCATATCGATCGTCTTGTGCATCGTATCGTTCATCACCTGCATCATCCAACCGACACCTGGCCACCACGACGTTTATTACGTTGTCTCGATTACATCATCACACACGCACCTGCTATCAACTTTGGTTCATCCAAGCTTCGAACTTGCGTCAAGTTTATATTTGAACAACACTTGCTGGATTCTAGTACTACTACTAGTACTACTAGTGGGGAGTCTACAGCCACAGCTTATGCTGGATTGCACTTGATTGGCAGCTTAATGCAATCCTCAGTCAACAACAATGCATCCCTATTCAGCGTCATCCATGTAACATCCATCCTCGATTGGCTTGCACCCACATGGGATATAAAACTACGGAGCTGTGCTTTGCGAGCCTTGACGGCCAAAGGACACTATTTTGCAGATGATATCATATTAGCCGATGGATTTTGGGTGCTTGTTTTACAAATGGGCCGTATCCCCATCGTCCTTCAACAACAACAAGGGGGCAGTGAAGAGATCAATCTATGCATTCGAATCAGCCAATTCCTTGAGAATCTCGTCAAGCATGCAAGCAAGAGCAGAGTACCGCAAGTGCGAACCAAGCTCATTCAATTCACCGAGTCGATTCAGTTTGTCATGATGATCAATGCATGGAAAACGTCCCTTGAATTGCAACATCGAAAGCTCACCGATTCACTTTCACACATTGTCTCTCGATGCATTGGGATGGCTCCAATACCCGTGGCAGACTATATCAATACAGCTGATCCTGGACGTTCTTGGCGTACGCTTTTGGCTCAAGATATGAAAGCATTTGCAATGCTTGTTCAGAAACAAGAAGAGATCAAACCGATTCAAGGTAGGTGTCGATGTCATTGTAAACGTTTATTTAAAATGATCGTGCTTATATTGGGAAATACAGCTACTAGGATCACACGGCTATGCAAGATTGCACTGAACATGGCGTTGGCTGGCAAAGAGGATGAGACGAGAGCAGGCGACATTGCACGAGATATTGTCAATTTCTTTTTGGTCATCATACCGAGACCTGTGAAGCCTGAAGATATTGATAGCATTGGGACCATGGCATTGGCAACACGAGAAATGTGGCATGGCGAAGTGGATGATCATGTAGGCTACATCCTTACACAGCATGAGCTCATGTGTATCGCCTTGTTGGAATGTTTCATGCAACACGTTCAAGTCGCTTCACAACAACTTGTCCAAAGTATAGCAGCACGTGCGGCCTTTTGCATCATTGCCATGCTGACAGCACTCAATGATAACCACAAGCTGGATACTACTACGAATGGAGGTGATGAGAATGGTCTGCTACGATCAAGGCTTGAAAAGCTCGTCATGTTTTTCTTGCATTATCACGAAGCCATCGACATGTTTTCCACAGCACCCACTTGTCTCAACAATGTCATCTGGCTACCCACTCTTGAGCACGCTAAGCTTGGTTTGAGCGATCGCCAATATCAAGATACCACCCTTTCCAGAGCAAAGCGAGCATTCACAGCATTAAGGATGGCTACACACCACGTCAAGGCATGTGAAAAGTTGGATAAGGCGGGCGTGCTACAACTCTTGGTGGATATGGATTATACCCGGCAACTCGACGATGCACCTAGGAACATGCTTTTGGTGTACGCATCTTTTATGCATTTTATTGCAGCATTGGCAGCAAAAATGGCTTACATACGTGCCAAGTTGCGAGCAGAGTTTCCTATTGGACCCCTCGTGATGAAGCTCTTATGCAGAGGCGTCTATTACACCAACACCAACATCACTGAATACAAAAACATGGATGGATTACATGAGGGCTGGAACCATATCATCCGTGGAAGTTTATTAGTGGTCAATGCATTCGGTTACGATCCAATGTCTCTTCAACAATGGTTATCTTGGCCTGCCTCTTTGGCTGATGATGATGACATGAATGAAAACGACACCCACTGGTTTGAGACGGTGCATAGTAATGATGGGCGTCTTTCGATTCTTCCTGCTATATTACTTGTACTCTTACCGTGTCCCCCTTCTTCTGATGATGATGACAATGGCCCTATCTCTGATACCCAAGTGATTACGCATTTCAAGCATCAGGATGAGTCTGTGGTAAGGGCAGCTTGTATCTCGCTCAATCTTTTGTCCTCCATGGTTGAATGTGGCTCCCAGCTTATCAGGAATATTCGTGCAGTGGGCCAATTATCGACGCTTCTTGCATTTCTTTCCGATGATAACGCCTCTGCTGCTGCTGCTGCTTTTGCTGATATACCCTACATCCCAATGCAAATCGATGATGCATACGCCCTTGACAAATTGGATGGTGATGAAGAAGAAGAGGATCATGAGGATGCAAGCCGTTCACCTTTGAATCATACTACAATAACGACCGATGCAACGGATACGCTATGCTTCAACAATCTTTATCGTGCTTTGATTCGAGTCCTTACATGCCAAGAGAACTTGCGAGCCGTGATCAGCAGCGACGTGTTAACATCCGTATTCAAACCACTCCTCTATGAACGCCCACTTGTTGACAAGCACAAAGCAAAGCTACGGCATATGATCAGCGATTCCCTTCATCGAGAACGATTGGATGACTTGTCAAAGTTATTTCGATTTACTATGGGTGATCAGAATGCGACCCAATTTCATGAAATGTGTGCAGTGGCACTTGGCTATGCTTGTCCTTATATACCATTATGCCAAAACATACTGGGTCTATCGCCAACTACTACCAGTACAGCGGATGGAGAAACAGGCATCTTGGAATCCAGCTCAGCCTTTGGTGTACTATGTCGGATGCTGGTATACGAGCTTGTGGAAGAAGAGGAAACGGTGGTAGTAGATGCCCCTTATCGACGCCAAGCAGCTGCTCAAGTGATTGAAGTCCTTGCACAAAACTTGTTTGATACGTGGTCCAACGAGCTCAATCAGACCAGAGACAAATTGAACGAGACGCTTGCTTCCAGACCAAGGAGATCTTTGACATCCTCCAAGGATACCCATGGTGGTGACAAAGTGATCTTTGTGACAAAAGAATCATCGCAACAACAACAACTTTGTGCCAATCGACACGTGCTTGCTCAACAATCGCCTTACTTTGCGGCCTTGTTCAGTGGTCAATATGCAGAAAGTACGCAGCATCCTATACCGTTACCCGATGTCGATCATGAAGCATTCGCCGTCTATTTAAATGCTGCCGATTATGCAATGGTATCAAATGACGTGGATAAGGTGATGAGTGCATGTCACAGTTGGAAGGACGTGGTGGAGCTTTTGATGATGGCAGATCGATTCAGCAACGATGATTTACGACTCTTTTGTGAAGTGTGGATTGTGAACGAGTTGATAAATGCACCTTCTTCCATGGATACATTGAATGGTGCGCTCTTGCTCTATCGGCGTTGTCGAGATACTGAGGGCGGTATCTTCTTGACGGATCTATGGCCATTCAGTCATATTCTACGCGAAGCACTCAAATCGGTTGTGAGCAGATTTTCACTAGCAGTCGCCACCAATGTCTTCCAGGATATGATACAGGATGCTCATCCCGAAGAACTTAGCGCTTTTTGTCATGGTATCGCTATACTTTTTGCCAATACGCAGCTTGAAGAATAGAAATTGTATTATAATAGACACTACTTAATCCTTGTCAAATACTAAACAAAGAGCATCGGATGCTTGATTGTGAGACACATATACATTTATCCTCCTTAATCACAATGAACTATGACAATGTATTGCTCATGTAAGGTAAATTTTATGCATGTCGTCGGATTGTACTATAAAAGCAATCTCCGGGGCTGCGCAAATTATACTCTGACGCATAAAAAAGGACACAATGATGACCATTTCAACAATGGGCTACTACAACCGCTTGTAGTATTGTGACCAACCCAAGGCTTGATGACTCACGATTACTCGCTCAACCTTTTTCTTGTACATACATTCTACAGTGATCGGTCACCTGCTGCGCATCAAAAAGATAGATGCAACTTGATAAAAAGAGGTTGTCATGTCCAATGCAATACATCCCACGCTTAACAATGTACAAATAGAGATGGCTCAATATTGAGATCAGGTGCTAATATAAACATGTGTGGGTTTTCTAATGTGTCCATCGTTGAAATATGCCTGATAAACCTTGTGCCAATGTGTGACATCTGCATAACGATGGCTGGGGGCACAGGTATCGGATCATCAGCTCCGCTCAAATACTAAAATGCAGCTGAAATGCGCAGTCGTTTACTATCTTTCTCTTTCGTGTCTATCAACCATCATGTCTCTTGGTGTACGTATAACACACAACAAACAATATATGTATGCTTATCATGTATTTATAGGTTATCAAAAGCTATCCCGAGAATCCAAACGTGTACAAAGTTCAAATCGCGGTACGTTGTGAATCACACACACACTCCCTCATTCCCCTCCATGACCAAGACGTCCATTAACGCGCATGCATTACTTTAGGCCGCGTATAGTGGTGTCAAGGTCGACTTTCAATCGTTTGATATTATGAAAGAACGTGATGAAGCCTTTTGGCAACGTTTCCCTTTTGGCAAGGTTCCTGTATTTGAAGGCAAAGAGGCCAATCTATTCGAGTCAAGTGCTATTACACTCTATGGTAGGTAACCACCCCACCCCTTATTTGTTGCATGAAGTGATAGACTGATTGATGATGTGCGTGTATACATAGTCCTCGCACAGCAAAAGGATTCACCTCTTTTGGGCAAGACACCACTTGAACAAGCTGAAATCCAGCAATGGGTCCTCTTTTCCGAGAATGAAATCAGTCAGCATGTGTCTGGATGGGTTGCACCCCTTCTCGGTTACGCTCAATACATCAAGCCCAATGTCGAGAGTTCCATCCAAAAGCTTCAGCGATCTTTGAGTGCTTTGAACAAGAGTCTGGAATCCAAGACCTATCTTGTCGGAGAAGATGTCACTTATGCCGACATTGTGATGGTGTGTTCACTCGTGAGACCTTTCAATTTGCTTTGTGACAAGGAATTCCGTGCCCCCTACAAGAACGTCATTCGCTACTTTAACACGCTCGTCAACAAGCCTCACTTTAAGTCCGTCATTGGTGACTTCAAGTATTGTGAAAAGGCACTCAAGAATGTACCTCCCAAGCAAGACAACAAGAAGGAAGAAAAGCCAAAGAAGAAGGCCGCAGCTCCTCCTCCTCCTCCTGCTGATGATACTCCCAAACCTACTCCCAAACCAAAGTCTGCTTTGGATCTTTTGCCCAAGAGCAGCTTCGTCCTTGATGACTGGAAACGCACGTATAGTAACAATGATACCGATGTTGCCATGAAATGGTTCTGGGAACACTTTGATCCTCAAGGATGGTCCATTTGGAAGGCCACTTACAAGTACAATGACGAATTGACACTTGTCTTCATGTCCAACAATTTGATTGGTGGTTTCTTTGCTCGTCTTGAACGTGCTCGCAAGTATGCCTTTGCTTCCATGGTCGTCACGGGTACCAACAACAACAATGCCATCTCGGGTTACTTTATCATTCGTGGTCAAGAAGTGCCTTACGAGATTTACGATGCCGCTGATTATGATTCGTACGAGTTTGTCAAGGTCGAACCTTCCCAGTATGAGGAGAAAAAGGATGAGATTTACAAGTACATGGCTTGGGAGGTCGATGGCTTTGCTGACGGCAAGATCTTCAAGTAAAAAGAAAAGTAGTAATAGTAGCAAGTGCAGTACCAATGATTTGCAATAAAAGGTCCATTGATTCTTTGTCAAATGATCAAGACACACGTTTCATTTATGTGGCACTACGTACACAAACATTTGCTATCATTTAAATGTGGCGATGTCGATCAGCTCAATAAACTTTTATAGAAAGCCTGCGTACGTTTTCGATTGCTCTCTTTTTCTTTTCCTTACACTACTACATGGATACCAAAATTGTAAAGCTTGATGCCACCTATGCCAAGATCCTTTCTGAACTGGGTGCTCGTTTGTTTACAGATGCCTTTGCCAAAAACAACACGCCCGAGGATCTTGCTCTCTACCTGGATTCAACCTACAGACCTGAAATTCAAGCCAAGGAATTGAATGACCCTGCGGTGACCACGTATATGGCATTCGATCAGGAGAGTAACCAACCTGTGGCATTTTGCCAGATGCGACAAACCCAGCATGTATACGACTTTGTGGGCCATCCAGAGGATGCCATTGAGCTGCAAAGAATCTATGTCGATAAACAACGGGCAGGTATGGGTCTGGGTAAAAAGCTACTTGCCGAATGCGTTGCTATGGCGACCAAGATGGGCAAAAAGACCATGTGGCTCGGTGTATACGAACACAACCCCGATGCCATCAAGTTTTATGCAAAGCAAGGTTTCTACAAAGTTGGTGCTCACACCTTTAAGCTTGGGAACAAATTGGAAACGGATCACATCATGATCAAGTCTCTCATTTAGTAGTACACAAATATAGTTGTTTATTCTATAAGCTTCCTTTCTATGTATTGCAGGTAGTGTGGGTGGATCATATCAACGCGTCGCCATTATGCATGTTTCTTTCTCAGTCATCGTTTTCTGGTCACACACAAACAAACACACACGCTTGGATCACTCAAGAAGGGCGTCTTGCTTCCTCTCTCCTCTCTCTTTTTTGTGTTGGTTGTACGCTGACACTCCTTGGTGGTGCTTGTCAACAGTAAGTAGGATTCCCGCCATCTGAGACATAGCTTAGCTAAACCTCATTAGCATGTAAAACCTTGTAGCAAGTCACCACTACCAATCTTGTACTCGACACGGTCCACTTTTTTACAATCCAGCACAGGAACAACAATGCACGAGTTGAGAGCCACCCAAGAATTTCCATTCGCAATGCCAACAGAAGACCATGATTCCAGTAGTATGAAAGAGTCGTCGTCGTCGACACCTGTCAACAACAACACCACCCCTTCCTCGCCCCTTGACTACTTGCGTCAAGGGGAAGCCTATTCACAACGAGGTTTCCAGCGTATGGCTATCAACGTCTTCAATGAAGGATTATCCACACTATCATCACCATCCGATCCATATTATGCACAACTTGAACGCGCCAAACACGATGCCGAGGAACGCGACAACAAACGTATCGACTTTATCAGCATGTTGCCCATGGATATCGTGATGCATATTGCCCCGCAACTGATTCACGAAGGTTGCCCATTGAGAGACAACAGGTTCACCAAGCATCATGCGCCTTTGTTTGTATCCAAGATATGGCGTCAGCGGTTCCTGGAAGCAGGCTATGTGCATGTTCAGGTCGAAGACGTATATGACTGGACGCCCACTTTCCTTTCAAACCTGATACAATTGGCACCTTTCATCAATTCAATCATGTTGACATTAAGGGGAATACCTTTTCAAGGTCTCTGGTCCATAGGTGTAACATTCCCATCATTGAAAAAGTTGTCGGTCACTCGTAAGTAGAGGAGGATGGATGGGTGTGTGTGAATAAGACAACTTACAACACTATGGCAATTAGTTTTTCCTAACGATATGAATGATCCTGCACCTTTTGAACCTGAAGAGATCATGAAAGGATTACGCATGGTTGGAGATACATTGACGCATCTCAAGATACATTATCAGAGCCCCACCACTTCAACAACTACAATCTGCTTACAATCGGTTTTGGATACATGCCCTCATCTCACAGCATTGAACATCATGCGTGTGGATCCTGATTTATCTGCTGGTTCAGCTACTACCACATTCCCTCGCCTTACGATGTTGCAACTCGACATGTTGGATGAGACACCTGTCAGCAATGAGGTGGTGACACGGCTATTGAGCAAGTTGCCTTGTTTGGAAAGCTTCTGGATGAATCGTTGCAGTGACAAGATGGTATTGGCTACGTTCTTGGATCATTGTCCCTCCTTGCGATATGTGGGCTTTGGTGCGCTTAGTCCTGATGATGATGATGACTCTTATCTCAAAGATAAGAATACCTGGGCTCGATTTGCAAGACGCTATGGAAACCTTTCTCCTGGCAAGATGAAGCTTGAACTTGAAAATATGCCCGAGGATCCATTTTCAGCTGCAGATTTGGTGACGATCCTGAAGCATTATAGCCCTGTACTTGAGGCATTGACCATTGAAGCCCAAATAGAGGATGCGCCCCAACGAGCGAATGCATATTTGCGATTGGACCATGTCAAGCAACTGGTGGTGATTTTTCCCGATCCAATGGAGGTGGATGATGATATGGGACCCATTTTACGATTACCAGGATTTATCTTGCGTCATACACCCAATGTGGAACGAGTGGCTATACGACAAACACAAGCAGATGCCACTACAATGCAAATCATGACCCAGCTCTCTCATTTGAAAGACGTGCAATTGGTGGTGGATTATGCGGATGAAGATCAGGTGGCACCTTCCATTTTTACCTTTTTGGATCATCACAAATCGTTGGGCACAGAATCGACTTTGGAAAAGCTTGACATCCATGCCACGTCAACTGCAACGAGATCAGCACCTTTGTTTGGAATCGAACGTTTGAGTAACCTCCGCGAGTTGCATGTTCGAGCTGATTTCCCATTGACAGTATCCCAAATATCAGCGAAAGCTTTGAAAAAGGCGGCAGAAACGTGTCCTCAATTGACAACCTTATCCCTACATGCTGACGAGGTGATTTCGGATAAAGTCCTGTACTCCCTATGCCAGTTTAAGAACCTCAAAGAGTTACATGTGACAGCAGAGAAAATATCAGCAGCAGGTGCATTGAGTTGCTTGGCATGCCGTAAGCTAGAAGTGCTAGAAATTTCTTGTCTGAATGATATTCGTGTTGTATTTCCTGTGTTAAGGACTGGAATTCCTAAGGTTTATTCAACAGTGCATGATTAAAAATAAAGAAGAATGGAAATTATATACAGCTGAAGGAAGATGTAAAGGGTTTACATAGTATGTGGATCAACCATGATACCTACATACTTGGGTTTTGGAGGTGTCAACAATCAGGGTGGGATAGGATGGAAGAAAGAGATGTGTGGGTGACAACATCCGTATGTGTAGAAAGGACGATGATCTCATGGGTTGATAGGGCATCTTCATTACTAGTGATATTCTTATGACTTTTTATTATGTAAGTGTGCAATTGACTTATGCTACAATGATGGATGAAGGATGGGGGTATTGTTGTTGGCTTAAAGAAGACTAGGACCATTGTTGCTTGGCTCCGACAAGATTGCTCAATGTCGATTCACGTGTCCTTTTCGCATAGTATTCTTCTATCTTGTCCCTTTGACGCTGTAACTCACGCTCAAACTTTTGCCGATCCTCTTGAATCTTCTTCAAGTACTCTTCGCGTTCAGCTGCGAATGGTGGGCCTTGGATCCTTTGTTTTTCTTGTGCATCCTTCAATGTTTTATCCAGGTCGTCCATGGTTTGACGTGTTTGCTGTGCTTTAACGTTACATGAGTCATCAAGCACCCCACATCATCCTCGATGGTAGCTACTTACAATACTTGACAAGATCATCCCAGCATCCATCATCTTGCTTCTGATGCACCTGGAGCTTCTGACTGCAGTTGGAAAGCTGAACAAATGCCACGGCCAATGCATCTGGTCCTACTCGGGTGCCGCTTTCAGGATGTGTTTCCTATTGATAATAGCATAGATAAGATTGAAGACCTTTTACAAAAAGATAAAGCTGTGCGCGTGTCGTATGAAGCTGGATACTTGCGTCGAATGTGCGAACAAAGTCATCAATGTTGTTTTGTAAATGGGCATGGGCACTGCCGAAAAGAGCATTGCCAAACTCATCGACGTCTATTATACATGTTAATATCGGTGTCGGCATATACGGGATCCTTCAGAATAGGCACCTTTGAGAATAGGGTCGACGTTGAAACGGGCCATGATATGAGATGTGTAGCAATGCAAAAGCCGAGTATTGGCACTATCGTTCTTGCAGCCATATTTTATTCGAATCCCGATGAAGCTCATGTTGTTCACACAATAAAAAGTAACCTGATTAAGACGACAATGGCACCTCATCAGAGCCGCTTGATGGGCTTATGACCTGATGGTACCATGTAACATAATGTAATGGTGTGCCTGCACATGGATGAACATCTCGGCTGCGGTCATAAAAAGATGCAAAGGGCTTTTAGTAGAAAATGAGGATACACTGATGGTGCATTATTATGGCTCGCTTTGCCTATGGTGCTTCCAAGGGTGGAGCTTACGGTAGCTCATATGAGATTTTCGTTGTTCAAGATAACCAACACCAACCCCTTGTGACATCCAACCATATGATCTGCATCGTGGATCTTGGGACCTTACAAAGCAAAATGACACATTGCTCACTCCTCTCATTCCATATGTAATCCTTACTTCCAATCCAACATTGTTGATATAGTATCTCCAATGGTTCTTTATCCCAGAAGCAATGCTACAACTACAACACAATGACACTAGAGCAGCATTATCCCAATATCCATCCACCCATTTTTCATTTGTAATACCAGTGATACACCGTTCTTGTCTTGCTTGTAGATTTATACCGTAGCTTTGATGGAATAAAGGCAGCTCCATTATCGGCCTTGTAAGGAATGGATATGTATACATTCGTAAAGAGTGGGTCGAGGTTAAGAGAAAAGGTGACCCTCCATTGAGTCATTGAGTTTCGGGACGTGATTTACCGATCCCAATGTAGCTTACTGTGGCAAAAGAGCGGCATCAGACGTGTATGTGGGCATCTACTTTATGCAACCTGAACCGGTACACCGAAATGGGGCATTGACACCATCACTTTTTACACATACCTTGACACACCTTCATGGTTGAATGTTGTTTCACTTACGTACCTTTACAAAAGGCAATCACCATCATCATCCATTTGTGTACTGTAGCAACCTGTCAAGGACGTGTTTGTGTAACCACCACGTGCGGTTTCACTCAGCTCTTCATCTTTCCGTTAATGCAGCCGACACCATTCATTAGGAAAAAGCAACTCCATCACGCTTACAGCATAGGTAAAACATAAATGTGCCTGTATCTCCAAACTTTACAATGAAACGTGGGGTTTTGAATAGAGCAATGTGCTCGGCTTGGCCAACAGCACCTTGTGTGAAAGTTTCGCGTTCAATGTCGCGAACAGCCCAAAAAATATTTTTTGGTCGTCGTCGTCGAAGAGGTCGACCCCCGGATCCAGTTTGGCTGGTGGCGACATTGCGAAATCTGGGATCGGCAAGCTTGATCGCGAAACTTTCACACAAGGTGCTGTTGGCCAAGCCGAGCACATTGCTCTATTCAAAACCCCACGTTTCATTGTAAAGTTCGGAGATACAGGCACCTTTATGTTGTAAGCGTGATGCTATATGAGAAGTGGTCTTCGTTTAATGTAAAGTAGCTAGACCCTGGAGAGCCAAAGATGCAGAAGGACCTCTTTGGATAACTCAGCTAAAAAGTCAGGACTTCAGGGACAATGCATGACAGGTACGCAACCCTCACTTTTATGTCATACATTGGCAGCTAATAGCCACTTTTGTGCATTCTATTGTAGGTGGACGATGCTCCTGCTCTAGACATTCATTTCAATGATTAAAGTAGGTTGATCCGAGCTGATTTGGTTGAGTTACGCTCACACAAGATTACATCGGTTGAGCTACATCGAGCGTGCTTTATGTCCAGAGTGATGTAATCTCTCTTTGACCGTAGCTCAGTCAAATCAGCTCGGATCAACCTACTTTAATCATGGAAATGAATGTCTAGAGAAGGGGCATCGTTCCCATGCAGTGGATCTCGCAACAATGATGATTGGATAAAAGTGGCTGTTAGCTAGCAATACATGCCTGTTCCTAGATGATCCATAAAGTAATTATACATTGACCCTTTCATTCATGCAAACGTAGCTGTGTTACACAACACGACCCTCTGCATCTTTTGCTCTGCCAGTGTCCACCTACTTGACAATGAACAAAGACCACTCTTCTTATAGCATCACACTTACAAACATAAATGTGCCTGTATCTCCAAACTTTACAATGAAACGTGGGGTTTTGAATAGAGCAATGGGCTCGGCTTGGCCAACAGCACCTTGTGTGAAAGTTTCGCGTTCAATGTCGCAACTAGCCCAAAAAATATTTTTTGGTCGTCGTCGTCGAAGAGGTCGACCCCCATATCCAGTTTGGCTGGTAGCGACATTGCGAAATCTGGGATCGCCCACGATGAACTTCATACTTTGACACAAGATTCCTTTGACCCCGACGAGCACGTTGATCTGTTAAAGAGCCCACGTTTGATTGTAAAGTTTAGAGTTACAGGCGTCTTTATGTTTTTACTATGTTGTAACCGTGATGTTATATGAGAAGTGGTATTTGTTTAATGTAAAGTAGTATGACTATAATAGAGCAAAAGATGCAGAGGGTGTGTTTGTGTAACTTGAGTCATTCAGCACAGGCGATGCATGATTCTTGTACACTATTTAGGAATAGTTCAAAATGCCAGCTAATAACCTTAGTCCTCCCATTTAGCTTTGTTGTCCAATCCAATGCATACGAACGATTGTCCTGCTCCAGCCCAGCATGCCCATCATTCAACTTTCTTGATCCGATGAGATTTGACTGAAAAACGCTCAAACACAGAAACATCATCCAATATCAGAAGAATCAAATTGGTAAGTTATTCGTAAACTGCCATTTGATAGCCCATTCCTCCCATTCATCTTTGTTGTCCAATCCAATGCATACGAACGATTGTCTTGCTCCAGTCCATCATTCCCATCATTTAACTTTCTTGATTCGAGGTAACCTTGGTAGTAAGGTAATGGCTGTTGTTGGATCATCGTTATCATGTAAAGTATAAAATGACACACACCCTTTTGCTATACGTGAGGATCATTTCTTTTATTTACGTGTAACTATTGTCTATCGTGAGGGTGATGATGACGATGGGTGGATGGTGTGTATAGGGTAATTGAGTGGCCTCAGTGTAACAGCAGTAGGGTATTTAAACTTGGGGTCGGTTGCTCCACGACTTGAGACAACGCTTTCTCTTCTTTTTCTCCCTCCTTTCCTTATTCCATTCACGACATCTCGATCAAGGTAATGTATTATAAAAAAGTGCTCTTGTTGGCTGTGAGGTATTAATACAGTTCTGAACATACATAAGCAATTGCCGTAGCCAAGGTGATATCGTTGCTCCTCTTGTTCGTTGTTCCGCCGCTCCACGCTTGTTGCAACAAGTCCATTCCAAGCCCAATGTAATAGCAGCACCTGTTCCATTGACATGTACAGACAACAAGATTCGATCGCAAAGGCGTTGGCTCATTTGGCCTTTTGAAACGACTCGACTACACCACGCCATGGTTTTTCGGGTTTTCAGTAACCAACAACGAAGGTCTTTGTGTATAAGAAAAAGGCAAGTGGAGTGAAGAAAGACAATGAAAATGGCGTTGATTGTAATGACGATTTTGGCACCATCAGTGAGAATTTGTTGGTGGGATGTACCCTTTGAGGATCGGAAAGATCAACTATCTATGACTTTGGGCAACTACGAATGATGTCATTCCTTGTCAGTATCGAAGCGGCCTTGAGTGAACCATGCAGTGTTTTCGCCAAAGAGATCGGCCTGGCGTAGTGCGTAGATGGTGGTTTGGCTATGGTATGTCTACAGCTTCGCGTTCTTCCACAGAGATGATCGCCGCGTGATTATGAACATTATCCTTCCAATACGGACTTATTGAAGTGCTCGTTTTTATATTTATAGAGACGTAGATAAAGGTTATGATGGGGATAGAGGATGATTAAGGTATTCAAGGCAATGGCACAAACAAGCATGGCTTTCCTTCCTCCTTGCAAGATGTTGCGTGATGCATCCCATGTACATACGTATCTGATAGTTGACGGCTTAAAGGAACCATGCATTCATACATAGTGATACCTGCATCTGGTTGGCAAATAAATGACAAAAAGAAGATATGATATTAGGAGGTCAATGTGGATTGTAAAGCGAGAAGCAAAAGTGGGGTTGTCAACTTTATTATGCATGCATAACACACTGGTGCAGAATTTTTAGTCTATGTAGCGGGGAAGGGAACTGGAACATTTGACATCCCTTTCTCTCTCTTTTCAACCATGTCAGATCAACCTTCTCCCAAGCGCCAGCGTTCTGAGGAACCTGAGGACCCCTCCACTACACAGCAAGCTGCCGAACAAGAACAAGAAAATGATAATGATTACACACAAGAAGAGTTGGACAAGGGCTTTGAACTTATCAAGGCTGTGATTGCTGGCGATCTGGTAGGCACAACAAGCATCGTTCCCCCCATGCACATGATCTGACGCGATTGGTTAGGAAAAAGCCAAGGCATTGGAGGCTGACGATGCTGACATTTGCTTCAACGGAGACGAGCTTGGACGAACGCCTTTGCACCACGCAGCTGAACATGGAAAGAAGGAAATGGTCGAGTGGCTTCTCAGCGAAAGACATCCATACAACTTGCTTGATAAGAAGGACGTTACAGCAGGCGAGCTTGCATACAACAATGGACACCATGACATTTATGAAATGTTGATTGCCGAAGGAACGCGTGCCGAGTTATTGATCCGTGCCTTGAAGAAAGCATTTCCTGACGACGATGAGGAGGATGATAACAAGGTGCCCAATCAAGAATACCTGGAACAAAAGCTGCATTATGACGACAACAAGCTTATGGATGAGAACAACGATGCCGTGATGATGGGATGGGAAGCACCTTTGATGGTCGAACACGCCAAAGTTATGTGTCCTCGAGAAGGCTTGGATGTACTCAACGTCGGCTTTGGTTTGGGCTTGATCGATGACGAATTGCAAAAGTACAAACCACGCAACCACTACATTATCGAAGCTCATCCCGATGTTTACGCTCATATGAAGAAGCTTGGATGGGATAAGAAGCCTGGCGTCACTATTCTCTTTGGACGATGGCAGGACGTGGTACCCACCCTCACTCAGACATTCGATGGCATCTTTTTCGACACTTATGGAGGTACATATATATACGGACATGGTTACTGTTTCCATGGATACTAAGTGAACAACTTGTAGAGTTTTATGACGATTTACGTGCGTTCCATGATGCCGTTCCTAATATGCTCAACACCGATGGTATCTATACGTGGTTCAATGGTCTCGGTGCAACCAATCGATTCTTCCATGATGTGTATTGCCGTGTGAGCGAGATCGATTTGCATGAATTCGGCTTGAATACTGAATACGTCGAGATGCCTATCGGTACAGCTGATGAAAAAGGTGTTTGGGATGGCGTGCGTCAAAGGTAAGCGTGCTATGAGGATGACAACGGATCCGAGATTGAACTTGCGTCTCTTTTTAGATATTGGGTTCTCGATAACTACAAGTTGCCTATCTGCAAGTTTTCCAAAGAGTAGTTTCCTTTCCCCGGTTCATGCTGTATATATAATAGACTGTGCATTTGATTTTTGAACATGGTTTCCTTTATTGTGAAGGGTGATTTCGTACATGAGGACATGGTTTTTAAGCAATGAGCTCGACAACTAGAAAAAGAGAAAGCATGATTAGTTTCTACTTTTATCCACTCTATATGACAAAGAAGAATACATACCACCACCAGCCTTCTTGATCTTCTCCTCAGCAAGACGAGAGACGAAACGAGTGCGAACAATAACGGGTTGGGAGACCTTGCCCTTAGCCAAGACCTTGGCGTAACCGTTTTGCAAAGCATCAATGACAGGGACCTTTTCGGTGTTCTTGTACTTTTCACGGACACCCTCACCAGCCAAAGACCAGATCTTGTCAAGGTTGACAACAGGGCGCCAGTATTGGTTGCGCTTCAAGTGGAAGTGACGCATACCAACCTTACCAAAGTAACCAGGATGGTACTTGTCCATGTTGATACGGTGATGGTGTTGACCACCAGCAAGACCACGACCACCGGGATGCTTTCTGTGCTTGCCTATTCAATAAACAATCCACCCTATTGAGTTTTGATATCCCTTTACATGATGTTGTTGTCAATGTCGTCTACATACCAATACGACCGTGACCGGCGGAAACGTGTCCACGCTTCTTTCTGTTGTGGTGGAGTCTGGTAGGCTAAAAGAACAAGTACAAGAAATAAATGGATTAGAGCCGAGTAACATTATCATCCATCGTTCATCCTTTGATTATTCGTTCATCCACATGTCGAATGTATTCATCCATCCATCCAATCGCCATATCCACTATTGTTCACCCCCATTAACATAGTGCAGGGATTACTTACCATTGCGCTTTAAAGAGAAGGAATCACTCTGCAATCATTTGGGTTTGGAAATACACGTACAGATTTCGGATTCCGCAACACATTCAAGTAGCTGATAGCTCATTTTGATCTATCAATGCAAACATGTATCCTCACCTGCCATCACAAAATCACCCTAATAATGGAATACGTTTATACATGCTCCTCATCTAATAAAATGCTTCCAAGAGTGATGAATCCAAACCACGGCATTCTTTTGCAGTGACAATCTTTGAGGCTTCTTCTAGGTTTTCCTTGGGCGTTAGACAGTTTACGGATACTTTGGCCCACATTTCTCAATCGGATTCAGGGAAGGCGAATAAAATAGAAAGTAGCTGTTTACACTTTTTCGAGTATCACTTGCCCATCAGCTACAGTTATCCATGCTAAATGATTGTTGTCGCTGAGTTACGAATCGCTGCGCTGAGTTACGGATTGTAGCGTTGACCTTCCTCAAAATGATGCTCGTCAAGATAGTAAGGGCTTTGCTATTTGCACCATCCTTTACTCGAAGCACAATTGAGCAATGCCATGGGATTGGTTGCTGATATCAAAGGCGATCCAATCATTCTCGCTCTTTACCGAACACGCATACCAATATTAAAAGTAGGTTGACAACATCATGGTAAGGCACCTTTTTAATAGTGGGGATGTGCATTAGGCGTACAAGTAGCTGATTTTCTTGATAGATTACATCACCTGCATTAGGCGTACAAGTGATTGATTTCCTTGATTGATTTTACCAGCTGTCCTAGTTTGGCCATGTATGCACATACAACATTACACCTAGGCTCCTCAGACTTAATCCTGGTATATGCGCCCCACCCACTTTATCAGATCATGGATCAATTTATCAATGCATCATCCCCAACAAACAGAATACCCACGCCCAATGCACAATAAAAGGATGTTGTCGCCGCCCATCATACTCCCACACGTCTCTTTCCTCTGTCATTCTTCTTTGATTGCTTACAAGGCCAAATGTCCAAGGTTTGTGCGTATCACATCTTGCAACCTGTGAATAAGCGCTGATCCTTGTGGTCATTCAAAAGGCTTCTTGTTATCCTGCTCTCATTGTTGTTGACGTCGTCCTCATTGTGATACGTTGGATTCTTATAAAAATGTAAAGCCTAATCATGTTGTTTGAAGAGTCACTACTCATACACGCTACTTTGTTACTTTCGATAGATATAACTGTCTCCCCATGATGCCTCTTTTGGTTACGGTGCCATGGTCTACGTCGGGTGCTGAAATTGACATGGTTCATTTGACATGGTCCAAATAGCAAGGTCCCGATGTTAAAGTCGTTGCCACCTCTGCCACACCACGAAACCAGAATCAGCAACTAAAACCAACAGGCGCAATCTATACGATCATTACCAATCTGTACATGGTAAGTATACAATAGAAGTTTAAGAAGAAATACTTTATTCACGTGTTTCCATGGCAGCTCTACGGTTGCCACAGCAACAAGCACGAAAGAAACAAAAGCAAGGAGAATCAGAGTAAAGCGCACCCAACCTGGCCTCTATTCTTCTTTTTGTTCTTATTCTTAATCCTTTGTAGGTTTCAAATCGTCATTGATAAAGCTCTCGAGAAGAGGTATTGTTCTTTTGTATTGAAACCATGTCGTTGCATCCATTTACTTAAATTGAAGAAGAAGAAACGATTGATCAAGCACGTGTTTGAAGCCCAACAAGTGCCAACCAACATCCGCATGTCTGAAAATGGCCTCTTGGACCCACGCTTTTGTGTACACATATATAATAAAACCAATACCTTTTATTACTTCAACGTTATTGTATGTAAGCTGAGCTATGTGAAATTACAATTATTGGCAAGATGGATGATGATTCAGTGTCATTTTCCCAAAAGAGGGCAGCATGAATGATAAAGAGAGATCTAAGGCTTCCTGTGATGGATGGCCCTTGGAATTCACGTAGCCCATTTGACAGCCGACATTTAGAGAACCGATCAAACTCTTGGGCTTCTTCTTCCAGCACTTTCTTGCCACCAACCCCCTCCCCCTCATTCGTCCAGCTATGATCACCGATCAACGAGAAGAAACCCTTCGTGAAGTGTGTGCTTTGGGGAACATTAAGGCTGCTCAACATTTCGCCAATTCAGGCGTCAACTTGAATTCACAAAACAAAATGAACGGATGGTATGGGCATTGAAGAGACCCTTCCCCCACTTTTTTGCAATGGTGCTTACAAAAGTGTGTTTCGTTTACGGTTCCATGGTAGCAAAGGTGTGCGCTTCATTGGGCATCCCATCGTGGTCACGTCAACGTGGTGCGCTTACTCTTATCCAACGGTGCCGATCCCAATGTAAAGACCCACAAGGATCAAACAGCCCTTGATTTGGCACGTGACAAACATCCCGAGATCGTCAGCCTACTTGAGCCTGTCACTAGTACTGGTGGTGATGATACCAACCAAGCAAAACCTGAGCCTGCATTACCCATTGTGCCGAGGTACCTGAAAGAACCAGACTTGGAGAAATCATGGTTGCTGCCGGATGAATTTTCCGAGGCTCGTATCGAGAATGTTGTACGACAACATCAAGCTCGTAAGGATATGGAACAACCACCCCAACCGCAGCAGCAGCAGCAACAACAACAAAGCAATACATCCGCAGCAGAAAAAGAGATCCTTGTTTATCTTGGCAATCGCAACGACGAGTCGATTATGGGATCCGTCTTCTTAAAGAATGAATCGATTGATGCATCGTTAGCATCTATCAAGCAGGTAAGAGTTTGCATTTCTTTGGCAAGATGGGTATGATTGTACTTATCATTGCATGTACCAGGAATTGGATGGATTACCGGAGAACTTTGTGCTTGGTCGTAACAATGGCAAGATGACGATCCCTATCAATTCCAAGCAGATGGATAAACCCTTGTTAGATATCTTCCGTGGTGAAGAGGATGTACTTGTTATTATCCCCAAATAATTATAAAGCTGTAATTTTATTCGACTTGCAGGCACTGACATAGGGTGGTGGGGGGTGGGGAGGGAAAATGAGTAACAAGCAAACTTGAATGCACCTTGGCAAACATCATTTGATAGTGCTTGGAGACATGAATGATGATGATTCCGGTTTATTGTGGATCCACAAACAATGATGCATTGAGTTGAAAAGGAAACCAAAACAAAGGGCAAATCGAGTTTCCAAAAATGTGATCTTGCTTTGATATCGTTTCCCACCTCCTTCATTCCTCAAATGATATAAACCAGCAGCTCATTTGCATTCTTTTTTCTTTCCTCTTCTTTATGGTTTATCATCCAAAACAACTTGATCCATCGGTAGATGTTGGATCACCAAAGCCAACACGGCTTCGACAACCCACTGCAGTAAAAAGATCCGTTCATGCAACCCCACCATCATCATCATCAACACCCACCACCACCAAACGCACATCTTCCCGGATGACCGTTACCAATAACAACACCATGCCAAATCGTCGTCCCATGGAGAAAAAGAATACTCGACAACAACAACCAGCATTGAACAAGTCCATTCCAACAATGCCAAAAGCCAATGCGCCCAATCGTCAACGCCAGCCCCATTCTCCCCATGCACGATCGCCACCCGCCCCGTCTAAAAGAAGTGGTGGCCACAAACCTCCTAACCATACGACTCGATTACCAGCATCTCGGTCCCCTGCTACACAGAAATCCTTATCACCAGTGGCGAAGATGCGAGAGCAATATGACAAGCTGAAACTACAGGTTACACAACATGATGCGGTATTTCATTGTCTTTGCATGACTAACACCTACTACTACTTTATGTAGAACAACCAAAACATGGATGTCATTGCTCAGCAACAAGATGAATTGCGTAAACTCAAAGATCAGTTGGCACAGCAACAACAACCCGCAACACCTCCTCCCGAAGTGAAACAACCTAGCAACAACAATCATGCATCATTGAAAGATGAAGAAGACAATGAGACAACAACAACTGAACACCAGCTGCATGAACTCGAGCGGCAAACCATGAAACGAGATGAAGAATTGGAGCAGTTGCGAATGGAGTTGAAACAACAACGTGATGCATTAGTGAAGGATGATCATCGTTTAGCATTGGAGGAAAGGGAAAATGATTTGCAACAACGTGAAGAGATGCTTAAACAATACCAGGATCAATTGAACCAACTCAAAGTGGAGGTAAGTATGGGGGGTGCCTATGTACTTGTTATATGCATACGGGATATTCATTCGCCTATACTAGAACAAACAAGCTTTGCAGCGCTTGACTGAAAAGGAAAAGGAGCTCAAAACACACCAGGATAAGCTTGCTCCCGAGATTATAGCCTTGAATGAACAACTCGAGGTAATAATAATAATAACAACAGCCTCCTCCTTAACACCCCCTGACAATGACACATGATGGTTTTTATTATCCAGCAACAAAAACAAAAGCATCAAGAAAGTTTACGCCAACATGAAATCATCCTTGATGAAAAGAATCAACTCCTGCAAGAGCACCAGGCCATCTTGAAAGAGATGCAAGACGCTCATCAGAATGAGATTTCCAAGCTCCAAGCCGATCAGATCAAGAACATCCTTTTATTGAAACAACGCCATGCCAAAGAAGTAGCTGATATCAAAGCACGTTTGGAAGAAGCAGAGTCGAAGCTCCTCAACAACAGCAAGGATGGCAACAACAACGACCAAATGATGGAAGAACAATTGGAACGCGTGTTGAAGGAATTCGAACAAGCAGAGCATTCACATCCAGTACAACAGCAAGATGATAATAACAAAATGCAACATGCAGCAGCGGGTAAATCGCCACAACATCATCACCCAAAACAACAACCATGGACATCACGTTTCTTACCAACCGAAGCTGTTTCATGGCCACCACCGCAACCATTATCCATTCTTCGAAAGACCAACAATGCATACTCACAGCAAATCCAGTCTTCAGCACATGACGATGATGATGAAGCATTACCTGATTTGATACCTTCCAACAATACAAAGATCCAATTATACATTTCCTCCGTCTCTGGTAGCCCCTTGGTAATTTATCTTGGTCGTCGAGAGACGTTCATCTCTTTGAGTTGTATACTAAAATGTTGTACATATAGGTAAAACGCCATCAAGATACCATACAACAACTGCTCAAGAACAATAATATTCCTTTTCAAGTGGTGGACGTGGCAACAAGCAAAATGGCCGTGGAGCATATGAAACGTTACGGCAATAACAGGTCGAGTGAGGGACATGTACCACAAGTGTTCGTGGGTGGTGAATATCGAGGCGTAAGTATACCTATCCATTGTCTTTTATGCGAGTGGGCTCACTCATTTGTGTTTTAGGAGTACGAAGATATCCTTCAACATGCAGAGAATGGGACATTGGAAGCACTCTTGAAACCTGAAAACGACAAGGCACAAGATACTATGGAAGGCACACAAACAAGCACAACGTCCAGCTCTAGTTCTTCCTGGCAATGCCCTGTGCACGATGATGATGATGACGAGTATTTGTTAAAAGAGCTTGAAAAAGAATTATGCAATGGCAAACAAATTGATATTGATAGCCTGTAGTCGTTGTTCTATTGTAAATCCCACCCTTTTTTTATTTCATGTATTCATTCCCCATCTACCAGCATCATCTATTGTATATCATTCTCTATCGTTCCTATAAAGAAAAACCATATTGTCATGACTACCACCACAGGTGACTCGTCTCCATGGTCACGTGAATGCCAATGGGGCGGTGGATTTTGCCTGGCTTTGAATTCTTCGCAACGATAACACACCCCTTTGCCTTTTGACATGCAAGCATCCACACTTTCCACCTACCGACATCTCTTGCGTGAAGTCAATCGACAGGTTGATAGGGTCTACATTGAGCGGGGGTTGCGATCGTATCACTAATGCAAGTATTCACTTTAGTTTGCCAAGAGCAATGACGTTTTCCCAAAGCAGTTGAAGACTATCTACCGTGAAAACCAGGGTGTCACCGATCCCGAACGCATCATGAGCTTGAATCGCAATGCAGAGAATGTGTTGACTTATCTCAAGAGCTCACGACAACACAAGGTATACTTTTGCCAAATGGGCGGTTTTTTTTCTGTCAACTCGAAGGGGATCATTAAAACGATTTTGATGATGCATAGGAACTACGTGATCGATACACAGCCATTGTTATGGAACAAAAGAAAAAGCTCGAAATGACAGCAAAGCGAGTGGGTCTCGAGTTACCCAAAGAGTATGATCCCCAAACCGTTGCTCAAGATCGCGTCATGAATGCATTTCACAAGCAGTAGATAATAGAATTTTACATGAGATTGTATAAAACATTTGGCATTGTTGGGAAATCATTTGTAAATGTATGATGTAATGTACAGTGGATTCATTCTAATATCCTAAAGGTATATATATCATCTCAATCAAGCAGCGATGTTTCTTCATCCATCTTTGTATCCTGGCAACACATAGCTGGAGAGGAGGGAGGAGGAGTGATTCGACTTGCGTGCGTGCGTGTGGGCTCGTGAATGCAATAGCACTTAGTTTCTGTAAATTTCTCTCACCAAGAACGCAGCTACATCCAAATCCTATAAAGGTGTAGGAAACAGTCAATAAATGAAGCAATCACCTATAGATGCCATTTTTCACTTACCTGCCAATATTGCATATGGGCACTAAATGCGCTTAGATAAGGATTCTCCAAGATGCCTTCTTGCAAACAAAAATCGACACGACCCGTTTGATTTAACATCCTCAATTTCTCTGCACCTGAAGTCTCACTTGCCGATGAAGCAGCTCTTTTCCGATACTTGTCTGTCAATGAAGGATCACTCCGTGACCGAGAACGCAATGTATTTTGCTCATCCGATTCAGGTGACAGGGATTCACTGCTACCCGTAGTAAGCTCGTTGTTGTTGTTTTCTGGATTGGCAGCAGTGGCAGCGGCAGTGGCAGCGGCAGCAGAAGCAGCAGTTGCTTGATTGATATCATCCTCCAATTGCTTTGAAAGACCCAATCCACGCATAAACAAGTTGGCTGTTAATCCCATTTTGAACGATTCATACATGGCACCCGCTCGATTGGCAATACCGGACCCCACGCTAAAGCCAGCATCAATCACGCTCTTTAAGCCGCCCTTGATATACGTGATAGGCACCGGTTTCAATTTGGCAGAATGTTGACGTGCAATCAAAGGCTCAAGTCGATACGCCACTGGATCAGACTACATCCCAGAGAGGTCAATTTCATGTGTATGGAAATAGAGAGGGATGATAATACTTTACCTTGTGAAAGATATTGTATAGGTTTTCAACAGCAGGGTAACAAAAGGACACCGTACTCGAGGATTTGGACATGTCACCAAAATTGTTCACTTTGCCATTCGCCATATCCTCTTCAAGACACTTTCGAGATGCAATCTTGTATCCTCGTAACAAAAGAATCACACCGAGAGGGGAGCCCACCGCAAAAAAGTTTCGAACCGGGAATAACAAGGCTGGTGACTTCTTGTCCATAGCCATGGAGGATGCTTGTAAATCATCAAGCATGGAAAGCGTACGAGCTTCTCTTGTGAGGGGTTGTTCTGGTTGTGTGCTCAAGATATCAAATGCAAGGAGAGACTAAAAGGCAAATTAGTCAATCAACCATCAGAAATAGAGATCGAGACTTACGCCGAGAGAATGACCAAGTAGGGTCACTTTGCCATTCCTTTCAATAAAATCAGGATTCCTTCGAACGAAAAGACGATAGACGCGATTGATCTCTCGTGTGATAATGGATGTCATTTGATCTCGGTACTTTTGTGTCAGGTATAAGGGTACTATTATAGGGAATGAGTTATCATCATAAAAGAGGACAAAGTATAATACATACCATCGAGAAGGACATCAGAGACGACTAGACGAATATTGGGTACACCATCCAAAGTCACCTCATCAAGCGTGGGACAACCATCATCGGCACCGATCATTCCAAGATCCATCTCCACGCCTTCTTCATCATCACTTGCCATGCCAAATGTGATTTCATGCCGCCAAAGAATAGGAAGGACTTGAATGCCATTGGGTCGTTGTGGATTGTCAGTGGCTGCAATGGCTGTGGAATAGGCGGATTTGAGTGTCTTTCGCAGCATGTTGACATCTAGAAAAAAAAGTGAGCCATCATTCTACCAGGTATATATGATAAGCCTTACCATGTGTAAAGTTTTGACCCATCCTCTCGGACATCTTTTGACCAATGCTAATAATATGCAAGTCAACAACCCCGTCGTCTTTGCAATGATCATCGAGAACGATAACTTACCCGTGAATCACAAAGACCAAATGATCAATACTTCTAACTTCCTCTTCACTATCTTCATTGTCATAATCCTCCATTTCTTGTTCTGCCATGGTCATATCATTTGCAAGCTTCTCGTCAGGTTTCATGCCACGTTCTTGTTGTGCTGCTGCTCCTGGTTGTTTGGGTGAATGGGTTGTTGCCTTTGATTTGCTTTGCTTTTCCACCTCCGGGTATCCTCGCAACAAGCGTGTGCCGCCCAAATTGGATCGGTTGGTGAGTCGTGTGATAATGCTTTTGGCTATTTTGCTTCCCGCTGTGTTGCTATTTGTTACATAAACATGTAAACAATGAGCACATACACACACATGTCAAAACATGTTTTCTTTTGAGCTTACTAGAGTAACCATGCAGTATTGGTGCCTGTGTAAACCATGTATTGTCCAAGATAAGGGCCCAACAAGTTCCATTGCTTTTCCACAGGTTGCTGTTCCAATTTCTGTTCCAGCTTCTTTTCTTCAATGGCAGTGTCCGATCGTTGAAGATCTTCTTCCTCTTTGAGCGTTGAATCGGTAGTGGTGGAGGATGATGAGTTGTTGATTGTTGTTGTTGTGGAGGATGGTGTCATGGGTGGATCTTCAGTAATCAACCAAGGTTTATGCTTGCTTGAATGGATGTCATGTTAACAAAGAAAACGAGAGAGAGAGGGAAATCAATCACTACTTACTAGTAACCCAGCTCGATTTGTTCTGCCAAATTCTCTTCACAAGGAACCCATTTGGAGCCATCACCTTGCATAAACCAAGTTGCACGTCGCACTTCGTACACGGGACCTTCCCAATACACAGGGCTGATGGTTCTTTGTGTTACATCCACTTCAAACAAATGATCTTCGTTCACTAATACGGTTGCACGCACATCGTTGTTCTGATAATGAAAACTATTATTAACCCCCAAACTTGGCGTATACAACACACATCCTTTATACGCGTACCTGATACGCCTTTTCAAGCGCATTCGAATCACGTTTAGAGAATGGAATCCAATCTTTGGGTGGTGTGCGTTTTGGAGAAGCAGGTGGTGCCGGGCTACTGGTGCCTTTGCTGCGTGATGAGTTGGTGCCGCTTCGTGCTCGTCGATTCACAATGGGATCTGAAATTGGGCTATCCACAGCATGGAACCTAGCAATGGAATGGGGTGCAGAGGATCAATGACTTGTACATGGTGTACCATGAAGGGATAATCGTTTACCATCGGACAGCTAGATTAGGAGCGTCTGGATCGGGTAGCAGACTTCGAGGACGACCCATACGTCGGTTCATATGATGGGATTGTGTGAGACTGTGTAAAGAGGATAAATCACTATCGATCATGATGATGCGATTTGAAGGGGGTTAAAGATAAAGAGAGAGAGAGAGAGAGAGGAAAAGATAGGAACAAAAGGAGGAGGGCTGTGTATGTGTGTACGGCATTCCAATTCCCTTTTGACACACGTCCGCATCTTGCAGGATTCACATGTTAAACCTAAGCACGTACCCCATCCATAGCAATAAATTATATATACAAAAAACATTTGATGTGTTGGTTTATTATTGTCTATTGCAAGGAGGATCTTAAGGCTCAAGACGCTTGGGGTCACGAGGGAAGAGACTGGTACGACGAATGTTGCCAAGGGCAAGGTAAAGCATGACAACACGTTCCAAACCAACACCACCACCAGCGTGAGGAGGAGCACCAATCTTGAATGCATCAATATAAGGTTGGATAGTAGAGATATCGACACCATGTTCCTTTGCACGTTCAACCAAGAAATCGGGATCATGGATACGTTGAGCACCAGACATGATTTCTTCACCACGCATGAAAAAGTCATAAGAGTTGGAGTATTGAGGGTTCTCTGCATCGGGCATGGTGTAGAAAGGACGAACAGCGAGAGGGAACTTGTCCAAAATGTAAAAGTCGGTGTGGTACTTTTCCTTGACAAGCTTGCCAAGCAACTTTTCGTTGGTGGTGCTATTATCATGTGTGTGTAACAAGCTACGTGTCAGTGTATCTATCGATGGATGTGGGCAATCATCCCCCATCTCACACATACCTCAAATCATCATAGTCACCAAGTTCAACACCGGCATCACGCAACATTTGGATACCTTCAGAGTACTTGAGACGAAGGGTCTTTGGCAAGAATTCGAAATCTTCGAAAGGATATTGTCTCTTGACAGCTTCAATCTCGACGCTGTAACGCTTCTTGAGGTTGGTGAAGATGTAAACAAACATTTCATCAAGGACATCAACGACTTCGTGATAGTGCTCATTGAAAGCCATTTCCATATCGAGACCCACGAATTCGGTCATGTGACGATGGGTGTTGGAATCCTCGGCACGGAAGACAGGTGCAATTTCAAAGACACGACCAAAATCGGCAGCAATACACATTTGCTTGTACAGCTGAGGGCTTTGAGCGAGGTAAGCACTTTGCTTAAAGTAAGAGACGCGGAACACGTTGGAGCCACCTTCAGAGGCAGTAGCAATCAATTTGGGGGTGTGGATCTCGGTAAACTTCTTTTCAATCAAGAATTCACGGAACAACAAGCAAACGGCTGATTGGAGGCGGAAGATGGCATTGTTGGTCGTCGTACGCAAGTCGAGGACACGATTGTTGAGACGCGTATCAAGGTTGACACGAACAAATTGGCTGTCTTCTTGCTCAAAGTCCGTTTCACGACGCGAGGCATCTTCAAGAGAAAAGACAATGCGTTCCTTGACTTCGGAGACAACGTAAATCTTGTCAATAGCAAGTTCAGCATCCGAGATAGTGCAGCTCTTGACTTCATCCACAGGCTTGGAAATGGTAGCATGGACAACAACAATGGATTCGGAAGGAATGCCAACGCAGAATTTCACCATAGGCTTGCTAATGGTCTTTTCATCGGCAGTGATGATACCTTGGATAGTAGACACACCTTGGCGGAAAACGAAAAAGCACATCTTGTTGCCAGTAGCACGCGAAGTGTGCACACGAGCACGGATCACAACCGATTCACCGGCACGACCCCCATTGATGTGAGTAATGTCCTCATATTTGGTATCTAAAAAAGAACTCACACAATTGAATATCATTCCCCACCTTTCCTCTCTCTTTTCATGATGTAGCACTTACCAGTACGAGATTGGGATTGGTTCATAGGAAGCTTGCCATAACGGTCTTGCGAAAAGTCCTATAACGTGTTTCTTTTTTTAAGTACAAGGGCATGATGGATTCATTGAAATACAAGAGACATACCACATTAGCAGCATCACGAGCAGCCTTCTCCTCAGCAAGCTTAGCGGCAGTAGCAGCCTTGCGTTCGGCCTTTTCCTTTTCCTTTTGAAGCTTCTTCAAGGCCTTTTTGGAAAGAGGTTTGCCTTCCTCGCTACAAGACATTACGGCATTAGCGAATGGGGTTGGACAACAATGGCGTATTGTTTTATACTTACTCAAGGATAACTTCTTCAGTCTTTTGAGTGATTTCTTCAACGGGGTCCTTTGTAGGTTCTGACATTGTCGACGAAACGAAAGGAGAGGTGGGGCTACGCGCTAGAATAAATTTTATACACTTGTTAGTGGCGCCTGGTCCGGCCCGGGCTGTTACTCACGCTGATTTGCTTATACATTCACATACATATACAGAAATGAAATGCCCCATTGGGATCAGGATATCATCACACATACTTTTACTAGGCCGCCAACTGCTCGCTTCGCTCGTAAACGTCGATTTTGTGTGGAAAGGCTTACCACTATGTGTGCTGCAAATGACCCGCTCATCCCCAAATGAGATTTACTTTACTTTTACATAGTGACTTATATGTTGCTTTTATTCGCTTGCAAGGATTCGCTTGGAAGTATTCTGGAAGATGTCTGCTGCGATGGCGATGTCTTATCTGGGTTTCTTTTTTTGTATACTTGAAAGAGTAACATCATTACAGAGCACAATCATTTTGATAATATAGATTTGTATACTTGTAAGAATGCGTTGAGAGGAGAGATTCTTTATGCGCGAACATGCATGCAATGTAACATCTCATTTGCTTGCTACATGGCCTCCCTTTGACGCACCCTTGTACTTCCAACACACTGAATCATGTATAATGGGATCACCGAAATGTCATTCACAACCATCCATCCATCGCTATTGATTGCTGCTATGTTCTTCAAATGAGAGCGATTTATTATCGATAGGGAAAGGGTAAGTGATCAATGATTGTAAATCTGATGCGTCATTGTGACGGGAGAAAAAAGTATCCTTCCTTTGGGAATCGATAGGGATGAATGTGGGGGAGCAAACAGTTGAATCTATCTGATGCGTCATTGTGACGGGATTAAAAAGAGTCCTTTCTTTGAGAGCATGAAAAAGAAGACGCCCGCATTTGAGACTTCCACCTGCTGATGTTGATGCTGCTGCTTTTCCGGGATCCCTTTTTTTTGACACGCTCATGCAGTTCCAGTACATTGATCCATGTAATGCGGTTACTGAAATATCACTGAGAGTCAACCATCATCGCTTGTTGCTGCTATCCTCTTCAATTGATAGCGATTTCTAATCGATAGGGGAAGGAGGGAAGCTAACAAACGTAATTTGATGCATCATTGTGATGCAAGTTTTTTTTTGCTACATACAAAGGGCTATGTGGGCGCGTTTGTTATTTCTCTTATCCCGCCACGTTACTCTTGTGCTGTCCCCACACTCTCTTTTTTCTCGTGCTACATGAGCCTGGGATCCATGCATGGACAATGACACGCCACCTTATCTCATAACATGTGTTGGTGTACTCATGCATAAACAATAACTTTTATTGCTGGAGGGCCATACGGGCCTAGATGTCTAGGCATTTTCTATTGTTTTCCCTCGCTACTCGTGATAGATTTGGTTTACGTGTTGATCCCCCCCCCACACACACGCTCCTTTTTCTCATGCGTGAGCCTGGAGTCCATGATTCAACAATGACACGCCACCCTTATCTCATGCTCCTTGGACAGTGCATTCATGCATCAACCATAGTTTTTTTTTCTACAGCGTGCTGTGCAGGCCGAGAATGAGACAATGACATGATGTCTTTATTCTTGTTGTTGTCGGGTATCCACATTCCATTTCCCTTACCCAATGAGCTACGGATTCATGCATCAAAGATGACGCGCCCTTATCTCATACATACTCCAGGTACAAACAATAGCTTTTTTTTCTATGTGGGGCCGTGTGAGTCTAGATGTAGATTTAGACATTTCTTTTCCTACTCAGGATAATTTTTGTTTGTGTTGACCACCCCCCTCACATTCTCCCTTTCTCATGCATGAGCCTGGAGTCCATGACTTAATAATGACACGCCACCCTTATCTCCTACTCCATGAGCCAATACATTCATGCATCAGGTATAGTTTTTTCCTTACATTTGGCTATGTGGGCCGAGAATCAGACAATGACGCATACAACTTTTTCCGCTACTCTGGGTACTTTTACTACATCCAATGACCTCGCCACATTCCACTTTCGTATACTCATTGAGCTATGGATTCATGCATCAACAATGACACGCCACCCTTATCTCGTAGCTCCGTGAACCAATGGATTCATACATCAACAATAGTGTTTCTTGTTGGGATTCTGTGTTTGTGGGGAGGGGGAGATTGACCCCTAGATTTTGACACAATGTATTTTTTTTTCTTGGCATCCTTTGATTCATGCAGTGACCTTTCCACATTCCTGTAACGCCTTGATGCCAACCGTCAATGGATCAACAATGACGCATCCTCGCTTGTCTTCTTTTCACAAAGTAATGGTGGATCATCAACAACGGTTTTCTTCCTCCAAGATGTGGTCATCGGAGACCCACCCCACCTTGTCACTGCTGATACTTTTGGATTCATGTATTACCCATTGCTTATCTCTTCCTCGTACACCAATGAAGTATCAACAATGACACTTTTTTTTTGTTTGTACACGCGACCATGTAGGTCGAGGCATACTTTTGGACTCATGTTTTCTCCCGTTTGTCACTCGTGATGCTCATGAATTCATGCATTGATCCCCAACAAATGTCATTCTTATCCTTATCTTGTTCTTCTGCGAGGGGATCCCATAGGTGCGATAAAGATGACTCATTGTTTTATTTTTCTGCACTCTCGGATGCTGTGTGGATTGACGCATGAATGACGGGATGACTTTTTTTTTTCTGGCGCCTTCCGCGGGACCGTGCTCATTGAGAAACGATATATAATATTGAACACGCTCTCTATCTCACGCTCCTTTATCTTCCAACTATCTCTTGGCCACACACACACACACACATACACACATCATCTCGGGGGTTCGTATTGCTGGCTCATTCAAGTTATGCTTCTTCCATGTACTCATTGCAACCATGTCATTGTAGTTGGCCACCCTCCCAAACGTCTTGCTGTCACCTGTTGCTACCAAGTCCAACGCCATTAGCTTTGTCACTCGCCTCCGCACTTTCCTCCCCCCCTCCCCATCATCCTCAGCAAGGTAAGTCTTCAAGTTGGATCTGATGTATGATTTATATTGACATCTTTCAATAGTAGGGATAAAACAACGGCACAGCCATTTCCCGCCTCCCTACCTTGACCGGTAGAGGACATCGGCAGCTGGGTCCATCCCAGCGTTCCCTCCTTGCTTTGCTTGTGGGGGTAAGTATTTGTATTTGGGTATGGTGGTTTTTTCGTTGCTGATACTAACAACATTCTCTTACTATTCTTCCGTCATCTCTTTGGTCTTCGTTTCCTTTTTGGTTATCTCCTATTCCTTTTGTGGATTACTTTATCTTATCAACATTCAATTATTTTAATAATAAAGATGACATGGAATGACCGATCATTAATAAAAAGAGGTCCAAATGATAATCATGTGATTGATGACACACACACACAAAAGAGAGGGGGTTGGTTGGTTGCATAGAGTATATGTATATTTCATGCTTAGTTATGTAGGTATTAGGAAAAGAAAAAGTATATCAAATTCGCAAACAAGGACGATGGTTTAACAAGAGGAGGATGATGAATTCTTTCGTTCCGTCAATCCTGCTGCTGCTGCTGCTGCACTATGACGAGAGGGATGGAGTTTTTTCTTTCTTGTACGCTTTGAATCGGCTTTGCCAATACGACGAGGACGTTCAGTCGATTTGATCGTATTGTTGTTGTTATCTTGCTTTGTTGGTTGTATAGCATTTTCAATCATGTCGCTTGTCGTATCATCCGAGATGGCTTCACGTTGTTTTCGATTCGCTTCCTCAAACATGATAAACCATTGCACCGGTAAACGTTGCCCAACACTAACGCCAAGTTGGTACCATAATTCAATCAATGGATTGGATAATTCGTCGAATGCCACGAATGCATCAAAGTCACCGACCAAGTAACTAGAAAAAAGAAGTTCTTAGCACGCACACACCTTTACGTATATGAATGTATGCAATGTACCTGGTATTCACCCATCGCATCGATCCACCTGTGTAACCTGAAATCTCACCTTATGAGCGAATCATATCCAAAGCAATGATAATAGTATCTTACGCAAGAGCAAGAATGAATACAAGTCTTCGTGGATGCCTATAAAAAAAAGAACAATAATAGATAAACATGGACGTCTGCGTTGCATAAATGGATGATCAAAATCGACCTTCAAAGATAGCAATGTGTGCACCAGACGTTACCCTGAGAAGATAGCTTTTACCCTCTTGTAAAGTGTCGGCAGGCACCTGTATTGTGTTCTTTTTTGTGATCTTTTTGTTACGTATCCAGCGCATTACTCCAGCGCTCATAGCAAAAGGAGAGCGAAAAGTAAAAAAAAGGGAAACGGGATAAAGAAGGGCAAAAAAGGTGAGGTTTGACACCACATTAAATGAGGTAGATATGGGTGTGTGTGTGTGTGTATGTGTGGCGAAATCAAAAACCCGCCATTTGCCCGTGTATATACATAGTTTCTCCTGTGCATTGCACGCCAAGCAGCCTATTTCTACCACTACCACCAACACCATGTTCCCAACTAAGAGTTGGGGGGTGGTTCGTGGTTGGGCGAGAAAGCTCTCATGCCGGGAAGATAATAACACTATCGTTGCTATCAAAATAATGCTAAAGAGTGATGCTGTCGTTGTTCACTTTTGAATGGGTATCGTCAAGGTTTTGCTTTCTCATTATTATCATCATCATTTTTACACTAAAGGGGGGTGGTATGCAGATCATTATAGACACATCTTTTCTCTCCCCCGCTTTACTCTTTTTGCTTACACCAAATCCGGTTTACCATTATTGATTGCCGTGCATCATCATCTTGTAACATGTTATCTTGATGCTTTGACAGGTAAGTGGAGATGTATTCTTGTATGTAACAATGAGGATGACGATTTTCATACATGAACGGTACTATAGCATGTTCAAAGGAGTTATTGCATATGGATGATGTGTGCCTCGCTATGTAGCACCGCACAGCAGGAGGTATTTGCTACTGCAACGAAAAGCGAAATCATCCCTTGGTTGCTGCTGGTGTGCTGTGGGTGGGTGGGTGGGTGTGAACTATACTAGGATAAAGCTTGGAGCCTCCCTGCACAACAAGATAAACAACGCTGCTCTATGTATGTATGTACATATAAACATGACTTTTTTTATGGGTACGTCACCTGTCCTTCCAGAGTTGGATAGTCGCGAATGATAATTGGATTTGCAGGATGCTTTTTACATACACGCGCTGTGTGGGTGTTGATCATCATTATTAGATCACTCTCATAGACGAGCCAATGGTAACTTAAATCGGCGTAGGCTCCATAAATAGCACATACACACACACATACATAGATTCCCTGAAACAGGTTCATGCACCAACTTGTAAAGAACAAAACGAAGCTTTGTGGGGTGGTATATATTACAAATAATTTACAAACCAAAAGAACGACAAGGTCTCAAAATGTTCATTTACGCTCGCATGCCTCAGGCCATGTTTTTCAGTAGGATAAACTTGAAGATAATGCGGCTTGTTGTGCTTGACCAATTTAGATACCAGCACCTCAGTATTCACGAAATGGACATTTTCATCAATCAGCCCATGGGCAATCAGTAGTCGGTGTTCACTACAAAATCTATTAATACATGATGACAATGGCAATGGTGGAGAAATTGCTTACCTATCGGGAAACTGGTCTACCCAATTCAGCACACTACCTGCTTTATAGCCAGCACGATTTGTCTCAGGAAGACCAAGGTACCGTTCCGTATAAGCCGAGTCGTACAATTCCCATTGTGTTACAGGAGCACCTGCAATGGCCATTTTGAAAACATCGGGTCGTTGTGCTAATCCCATCAGACTGAGGTAGCCACCATAGGACCATCCAGTAATACCCACACGATCCAAATCAATGACGCTGACAATGTTGCCATCCAAGGTAGCTTCGGCACCCACTTTGGCATCATGCACATGATAAAGACCCTGGATTTGATCATCAATCTCAACACTGCCAAGTCGACGGTGGATATGCGATTCGAAGGCTAGCCCACGATCTGAAGATCCTCTCCCATCAATCACCACCACAGCAAATCCAAAGTGCACGGACATGAGATAACGTTGTAACCTTGCCAGTCGAAAATCATTCGTCACCATTTGCGTCTTGGGTCCACCATAAATGTACAAGATGGTAGGGTAACTTGTGCCTGGTTCATAGTACCTTGGCTTGTAAAGATAACCATAAAGCCGCACACCATCCGCATTGATAAACGAGAAGATTTCACCAGCAGGAACGCTTTGTGTTTCTGCATCATACATGCCAAAGCTGCCTGATTTAAGTGCATGCCAATATTCAAAGCTGCCGCTATTCGATGAATGGCGACGACCACTCCCGTCAGAGGGTGTGGGTGTCGCAAGGACGCGAGGAGAGGATCGTATTGTGTGCTCAGTATCTTCCATCATCCAACATGCAACATCTTCCTTTGTATGGGGTATTGCAAACACAAGCGCTGTAAGATCTTCCGCCACGGTGGGTAATTTGTTGTTGTTGTCATGGTATTCGAGATGTTGCAAAATGATACTTTGTGTGTGATGTAAACTGGAAAAGCAATCAATGAAAACACCCGCCGATGTATCCATAGCAACACTATGACTAAAGCCGAGTCGTGTAAGTCGAGAAATAAGGGGCTGTTGATGATCATGATGATGATGTTGTCGACGATAATGGGTGACGTATAAATGAGATTCTAAAGGTGTATCTTTTCTGGCCATGAAATAAACAAGGTGTCGTTGTTCATCAACATAGATTGGATGATCCGTGACGCACCAGTCCCCACTTGTTAACTGAGTAATGGATGAGGCGGCAGCCGAGGATCGTTTTGATATATAGTAAAGATGTCGAAAGCCTGATTGTTCAGAATGCCAAATAAACTCAACGCATTCGGGTGTAGAAGATTTGAGAAAATAAAAGGCGTCGGCTACATTGATCCATATTGAAGATGTCTCTTCCCAAAGTATCTCGAATTGGGTTGTGTGTGGTTGTTGCTGTTGTTGTCGATAATCTGATTCAGTGATAAATTGATCACAAGCGACTCGCAATACAGCCATGCGTTTCTGATCACGCGATAAAATTTGAACCCATACACTAATAAAAGAAGAAAGGATAAGCAACCTCTATCACAAACATACACTCACAATAATTACCTTTGTCCATCAGGTAGCCAACCAAACCTTACAATGTACTCGCACCAGGGAAATACATCCTTGATGCTACCATGCCATAATCGCTTTCGCACAATCCTAGTAGTTGTCCCTGGTATCACCGATCCAAATTCAACAATTTGCAAGTCGCTGACAGCATTGGGTGTACCAGCCCTTGGGTATCGTACGGGTTCAGCTGCATTGCGCTCTGGATGGATGGCTGCCCCATATCTTGGTTTCACAATCACCACGACATCCACATCCTTCTCACTAGTCTCCAAGTACAAGATTCGATTGATTGGATCGGTTGATGATGATGCTGATGCTGGTGCCCAATAATAACCAGTGTACCTTTGGAATTCTTCCTGATCCAATGATGGTGAGTAAAGGGGGTGGGGTGGATGTAATCATTACACAATGTATAAATACCTGCATCACATGCTCTGAAGTGCCCGATGACAATGTTGGATCATCCATTTGTAGTGAACTTGTCGTCAATTGTACCTCGTAGCCTTCCGTTGTTGCTACCCAAATATCACGATTGCGGATAAAGGCAATGAGATTATTGTTGACGCCACCGAGCTTTGCATCATTTCGAACAGGGGATTGAAATGTATTGCCCAACGTGCTGGAAGTAGTGTTGTTGTTGTTGTTGTTGTTGTTGTTGTTGTTGTTGCTACCATTTTGTTGACGCGTATACGTTGCTTGGTGCTTTGGCGACGATGAATCTACTACGTTCATATTCGGAGAAGGCGGTGATTCTGACGGAGAGCCCTGCTGCATAACAGGAGTAGGAGGAGGAGGAATAAGGGTTGCTGGTGATGAATTTGTCGGTTGTTGCTGTTGCTGTTGCTGTAATAAAATAGGGATCTAAGACCGTATCGATGTTAGCATGCCAACATCATCATTCATATCCATGATACCTCTCTCTATATAGTACCTGACCCAATGTACCCAAATAGACAGCGTTGCCAGAACAAAACAAGATTTGATCATCCATCACTTGATAATGTGCGATGCTTTCAATGGGATACAGCCCTGATGATGCATCACTAGGAGAAGGGAATACGGCATCCACAGGGACATTGGACTCGCTTGGAACCAGGTATTGAGAAAACACGGGTGACCATTCTAGAATAGGGCGTTTGGAGAGTGCCTGGATATAGGGATGTTCTTGAGATGCTGTTGACGATAAGCAATAAAAGTTCCTGCTGTCAGTGTTTATCATCCATTCACGTGGCATTCTCTACTTGCCTAAGGGTTCATGCTCGTCCAGAGATGGTGCAATGTCGTGGTAGTCGACTTGATAAAGCGTGAGGTGGCGGGTGAGCGTGCCATCGATGGCTTGATTGTTGGAGAGAAAGTAAATCTTGCGTTGGTTGCCATCAATATGAAAGTCCTTGACAGTGGCAAGTGCATGTAGTGGGTAGGAGGCATGCGCCCTTGCTCGGAATGCTTTTACTTGAGTACGGATCTGATCCCAGTTGTATTTGGACATGGACGTAGATACCCACGATATGATGATGCGGGCATTTGAAAGCAAGCTACTCCACACTCCCTCCCATCAAATTTGTCCGACTTTTTTGAATGTCCCGTCTTCCTGGTATACATACACATACACACGTGAGATGAGCATGCGTTGCTATGATACCATTGTTCCCTTTCATATCATATTGCCCATGAGTTGATCCTCTTTACCAATTACTTGATCAAGGACCCCACCACCAATGCTACAATCCTATCCAATTGCTCAGCTCTTTTACATATATACAAACCCATTGCCTTGTGCTTTCCTCACGTTTATTAATAAAGCGATTATACGTTATGGAGTCTTGTAGCCATATCCTTGAATGCAGCCTTGGCCTTGTGAGAACCTTTCATGCACGTGTTGGGGATTGTAGTACACTCCGATAATTCGATCATCTTGTGCTCATTGGTAAAACTTGTACGTAGAGCCATTGGCTATTCATTGTTTCTTCTTATGCATGGTCAAATGCTTTTGTCAAGCTCGATCTTCATCCTTGATTTTCTTATCTATAAGGTACAATAAAGGCCAGTGCTATTATGTCGAGTTGTTGTCGTCGCAGCAAAAGCGGTTTTTAGCTACAACGGGAGTCGTCAATCTATTGCAAAGATACGATTACTGATCCGCGCGTGTGTATGTATTGTGATGGTGAAGGAACGCTTTGATCCGGGAAGGAATGCGTTGCATAATAAGAAGACCACTAGCTAATGGGCCCACTTTTTTAACCCCAAGCCCGCTTGATGATGATGATGATGACGATGATGCATGAATAGGTTAGAGTAAATCCAAAAGGCATGCAAGAGAAAAAGAGCATCCTCGTTCTTGTGGTAATGCCCCATAAAGCGATAAAGGAATACCTTGCACGAGCCTTAACTCACACGATTTCTCGACTAATATACACATTGGGATGGATATGGTATGTTCGAAGAAAAAGAGTGGAGAGATCTCACCATTGGAGCACGATCTATCCAATCATATGACTCGAACAGGGATAGGTGATGGCGGAGAGGGAGATCCGGCTTGCCTTTAATGGACGCTTTGTTCCGTAAGAATCAGCTCAGGCACTTGCATCTCTACAATGAATCACTCAGATCCTACGCCATTCTATATACAAACAAACATGGGATGCAACCCGTATCACGTCATTCTTTATACAGTGCCTATTGTAATAAGAAGAGATGCTTGTTACTATGAATGTATGTATGAGTGAGTGCGTGAGTGAGTGGGTGTGTGGTATAATTTTTTCAAGGGGTACAGTGAATAGATGGCTCGGTGGAATAGCAGTCCAAGTAAAGTACACCTCTTATGGGAACTACTTGATAGCGGCTTCCAAAGTCAACCTGACTCGGTGACAAAAAAAATCAAAACAGCCTTATACAAAAAGGCCGTGTGCCGGGCACCTCGTCTCCCCCACGTTTCCACTTTTTTTCTTCTTCTCCATTAAACTACTCATTCACACAATGGCCTTGAGACTCTTGTCCGCACGTGTTATGCGTCCTTACGCTCCTGTCTTGCGCCAATCCGCTAACTTGGCTGCTTTCCGCACTTATGCCAGTAAGTGTTTTAAAGAGTACGTTTTTATATAGCTGCATGGTTTCTAAACGATATTTCATAGCCAAGCGCTACACCGACGACCACGAATGGATCTCTGTTGAGGATGGTGTTGGTACCATCGGTATCACTGATTATGCCCAAAAGGTAAACGACGACAACGACGACGACGACACGCAAGCGTAAATGCGGGGTAAAAACGATAGCTCATGCATTCCTGATCATAATAGGCTCTTGGTGATGTTGTGTTCGTTGAGTCCCCTGTTGTTGGCAAGACCGTTGGCACCAAGGGTAAGTGATCCGAAAAAAGTGTAAAGCATAGGGACATGTAAAAGACTCATCGTTCTTTCTTTCTATAGAACAAATTGGTGCTGTCGAGTCCGTCAAGGCTGCCAGTGACATTTACTCCCCTGTCGAAGGTGAAGTTGTCAACGTCAACGAGGCTTTGGAGAGCGAGCCTTCTTTGATCAACACCAGCCCTGAAGAAGAAGGTATGATAGAGGAGGATGAAGAATGGAAGTTAAAGGGAAAGGATTATTGACATGATCATGTTTATTTAGGTTGGTTGGCCAAGATCAAGCTTTCTAACCCTGAGCAAATTGAGAGCCTTATGGATGAGAAGGCTTATGCTGAGCACTGTGCTGCTGAAGAGGATCATTAAACGTTCCATTATGTATAAACCATGAGTAGTTAATGTATCCAAGTGCTAGATTGTTGTTTCCCGATTCACCCTTAAAACCTACTACTACACACCCTATCTCGCAAATGTTCCCATCCGCATCCTATTTCTCTCGCGCATCCCCTTTGCTGAGTATAAAAATGCAATACAACTCATCAGCAATCATCTTTTTTTTTCCTGCATATTGGGTGTGTGTGCTTTGTTTGAGAGTGCCGAGTGTGTGTGCGTGTGTGTGAAAGACATCTTTTTCCCTTCTTGCTGTTTCTTTTTCTTTTCCTTTGCTCTTCCTTATCTTGTCCTATTTATCATATTATATACCCCACCACAACTACCACAACCCCTTTCACTTGACACAACCCCGTTGCATGTCTTCATGAACCATTCAAGACGATCTGTGCAAGCATCTCGTCTCCAGTCTTCAGTTGCAACCCATCACCACGACTTGTATACAGAAACCTATCGAGCAGCATGTCTCGCCATCAAACTCGATCGTCTCGGCCAATTCGTTCAGGCATCACAGCAATACAAAAAGGTCATTGAGGTTGGTTGTTCTTTCTTTCTTTCTTTCCACCCCCCCTTCCCCTTGAAACGTCAAAAGAGTTTGTCACTCACACACTTTTATCCATGACGACGCGCAATATTAGATGTTTAAAGACTTGATGGAATGTAAGTATCACGAGGATGATGGGAAAAGATAAAAGTCTAATAGAGTCCACTTGACAGTATGCGATCAAGATGTCCGGATTGAACGACAACAGCTTGAACAAAAGATGAATGAATACGTGCATCGAAGTGAGCAATTGAGTCGGTACAATACGGGTATCGCCAATGGTGTCCCAGCAGCAGCCCATCCTGACGCGGAAATGCATCGCTTGTACAACGTTCCCGATGATATGGATGATCACCAAGTGGAAGGAGATGAGGATGACGAGGATGATGATGAGGCCCGTTTAATTCGTTGGCATCTTCAAAAGGGCAAGGTATACATTGACAAAGGGGAATAGCAGCAAGATAACTTACATCCATGTTGATCTAGTTTTCCATGATCCAAGGAGAAGTGAATGATAAAAAGGGACATGTCGAGGAGGCGTTGGAGTACTACATGGATTCAGCTGACTGGTACAAAAAGGCATACGAAGGTATATACATAAAACAGGTTGATTTGGAATAGCTGATAACAACATCATCATTATCATAGATCTTGGTCATGATCCTCAGCGTCGAGCCTTTGCAAAAAACATGTGTCTGAATGCTGTGGATAAGGCAGAGGAGCTCAAGGCAATGACGATGCATCAAAAGACACAATTGCTAAGTATGTGAGGCGGCACATGGGATGATGATGATGATGATGGTAGAGCTATATCCAATTAAACGTGGTTGCATGCAGGTGTTCGAAATGAGAAAGCGCATACGAGGCCTGTGCTTGGAAGACATCGTGCCTCTTCGACATCATCCACTCGATCCAATCGATCCGCCGTATCCATCGAGTCTTCCTCATACCCTAACGGCAAAACGGGAACATGTGACAGCCCACAGAGCAGCAATAGTACAACGGGTGGTGATCTACTTGCACAGCGTTTATCATCGGCAGAACTCGAAGTCCTCAAATACAGCTCCAATGTCAATAACAACATTTTCCTTCCATGGATTGATGATACCGATCTAAAAGAAAAGTTTGCATACCCCAATCGTTTCATGTATGTGCTAGAGAGGCGTAGTAGATTACACAAGGGAAAAAAAGTTATTTACAGATACCCTGATATTAGTGATCCGGATGGCACGCTTCGACTCTCTGAAAAGCAAATGGCAAAATTTGGAGGATGGAAACGACCCACTGAATTCATGAAGAACCCACAATTGATCCGATTGATCTCAAGCACAAGCATTGTTCAAGATGTTGTCACCGATTGTTCCTTTGTCGCATCATTGTGTGTCGCTGCAGCTTATGAACGCAAATACAAACAACAGGTAAATCATACTCATTGGATGTGTGTATGTGTGCGATTGACCGCTGGCCCATTCCTTAGTTGATTACCTCCTGCATCTATCCACAAGACATCAATGGTCAGCCCTGCTACAATCCTAACGGAAAATATGTCATCAAGTTATTCCATAATGGAATTCATCGAAAGGTAAGGTGGATTGCAGAAACAAGGGTTGTTGATTGTTGCTGATTGGGGGCACTTTTTTAGATTGGTATGCAGATTTTTTAAAAGTATGCATGACGATCCCTTGTTTACAATTTTCTACAGTGGTGGATGATTTACTACCGGTGTCACGTGATGGAACATTGATGTGCACGTTTTCTACCCACAAGGAGGAATTATGGGCCAGCATCATTGAAAAAGCAGTAAGCATCTTCTACTCAAAACGACTTTTGTGCATGTGATTGAGCGAGTTCTTAGTATATGAAACTCATGGGCGGATATGATTTCCCTGGATCGTACGTATATTGGACGCGACATGGTTTATATTATAATTATGCTCATATTTGTTTATAGGAACTCAGGGATTGACTTGTAGCAAGTATCTCAAAACAAGGTTATGACCAAGAGGCTACTTTTTATTCTAACATGAATTCATTAGCTCACTCACTGGCTGGATTCCGGAGCATATTTTCATCCATGAGTAAGTAGGTCATCTTGCAAATAAGGTTGTTCATGACACTAAAGTGGGCCATAGCAAACATTTCGTATCAGACAAAGTATGGGATCGGATTCTTGAAGGATCAAAATATGGCAAGTGTGACCGCGAGAATGTAATTGAAAAGAATGTCTAATGGTATGTATAGGCGATGTTCTCGTTACGATTGCGACGGGTGAAATGTCTGAAGACGAAGCGGATCATCTTGGATTGGTACCCACCCATGCCTATGCCGTCATTGATATCAAAACAGTTCAGGGCAAGCGATTTATGCAAGTCAAGAACCCATGGAGCCACAAACGATGGCGAGGCCCCTTTAGTCATCTGGATACGGCCGCTTGGACCCATGATTTGAAAAACGCGCTCAACTATGATCCCTACATCGCAGAGCAAAATGATGATGGCATCTTTTGGATCGACTTTGAATCCGTGTGTACGCATTTTACATCCATCCACTTGAATTGGAATCCAGAGCCATTCACACACCGCTATGTATTGCATTCGTAAGTGAATTCATCATGCACACACATCCCCCTATGAAGAAGGTTGCTTATTTTATTTTAGGTTATGGCATGGCCATATTGGTCCCAAGAAGGATGTTTACAATCTGGGTAAGTGAGCTTGTCTATTTTTGCATTCTTTATTAACATGAAACCATAGGCTACAATCCTCAATTCAGTTTGCAAATCACCGTCCCTGATAGAAAGCCAGCAGCAGTATGGCTACTTTTGTCCAAGCACGTGATGGTGACAGAGGAAAACACTGATTACATCACGCTACACATTTATGATAACACCGGTGGTCAACGTGTTTATTATCCAGGAGATCCCTTCAAAGAGGTATGCAAAAGTAAGGGGGGGAGCTTGAATGCAAAAGAGATTAACTCATACCTCTACAGGGTACCTATGTCAACAGCCCCCATATCTTGGTACGTGTTTTCTTGCAGGTTGCATGGACGTATATGTGTACTAAACATGGATGGTGGTTGTTAGGTCCGATTCAATGCTCCTCCTGGCACTAGCGAATATACCATTGTGGCATCACAGCATGAAAAGGCTCAATCATTGTATTTCACTCTTCGAGCTTGGTCACTCGCTCCCATCAATTTGGCCGAAGTCCCTATGCGCTATTCCATTGAAGAAAAGGTAAAGAAAAAAGATGGGGAGATATGGAAAAGTGATAGAATGGCTCACCCAATGGAAAAAAAATAGATTGTTGGCCAATGGACTGAACAAACAGCAGGTGGCAATGCATCCAAGCCGACGTATCTTAACAACCCCCAATGGAAAATCGACATTCCAGTTCCTGAAGAGTACGCAGCGGATGCAGGATTGTTATTGATGCTTGAAGCACCTAAATCATTTGCTGTGCATTTGATGCTTGTGGAAGGTGGCAAGCGAGTATCCAGTGTATCGGTACGCGATGTGCTTGCAGAATCAGGACCTTATCGGCATGGATTTTGTTATTGTGAGCTTGCTCAAATTGCACGTAAGTGGTGTGTGGGATAGGATGAGGGGGTATATGGATATTGATGTTGATGTTATTGTTGTAGCCGGTAGTTATACGGTGGTAGCGTCCACCTTTGAGCCTGATCTTATTGGACAATTTATTTTGACGGTGGCATCCAGTACCAAGATCCATACGGAGGCTATACCGGCTGAAGGCGCTGTAAGCTTTATTTATAGACACGACCCAATGCTTTCAATCTAATGATAGAATACATAGGGAATGTTCCGTAAGGTGCTACATGGTGAATGGATTTGCGGATACAGTGCCATGGGGTGTCCTAGCTACGGTCACTATGGCAACAACCCACGCTATCACTTGGAGATTCGAGAATTGACAACGGTCAAGGTGCGTTTGCAAGCCAACAAGATTGAGCCTGTGCCATCCATCAATGTTACCATCTTCGAGAAACACCCAACCGATTTATTTGGACGAGAAGTGGCAACCTCTGGCCCATATACCAATGTTGTACAGGTAAGATTTAAATGCATTGCTAAGAAGGAAAGGGTGGGGGGAAACCATGATTGTTGCTCATGTATACTTTTCTTCTAGGGTGTGGCTACCAGTGAAGTGGTTCTAAGCCAGAATCAAACAGGCTATATTATCGTACTCGCCACACATGAAAAGAATATTGCTGGTGAATTTACAGCCACCTTGTATAGCGATCGACCTGTCAATGTTCGAAACGACCGGTAGATTTCTTTCACTCTCACTACATCCCATCTTTGTATTTTGCTTGCATTGTGCATTATATTCCCCCTCACTCTCACACACACATTCATATCATCATTTTGTTCGCACATTCCATTTATGCAATCGTTTCTCTCTTTTTTTTTATACCAAAAGTGTGTAATAAACCACCCCCATCCATCAAAGATAATTAAGAGGATTTTCGATGTGCCTGGATTTGGGAAAGGGCGCGTTGACCAGTGACAAAGGTGATGGCAAGTAGGAAGACAAGGTAGCTAAGGGTTTCGAAAATGTTGAGACGTGTCCAATAAAGATAAAAGAGGTATTCGACAGAGGCAAGGGAGGCTAGAAATGCAATGATGGATACGGGACGCATGCTGCTGGATCCTGATGTCAGTTGACCGAGGACCTTGACAGGAGTAACACCCACGCCGAGCCACTACAAAGAGAGCAAAGAGCAAATTCAGCTTACTATACACATACACACACATACGTTGAGCTATCACTTACGCCCACCATCAAGACAATCCATGGGGAAAGGGCAATGAGAGAAAATAGCTGAGAGAACCATGTAGGCGGCATTGACTCTGCAGGTCTAAACGCGTGGTGAATCTCGGGTTGCAACTCGAACACGTCTTCATCGCCTGCTGCAAAAGCATGAGCTGCTGATAACAATGTAATGAGACCAATGGCGAACAGGTGCTTGGTCATGGTTGGGTTGTATATAATAAAGCTGTGTGTGTGTGTAAAGAGGGGAGATGAATTTGAATGTGTGAGCGTGCGCGCTTTATGTTGCAAAGAATGATTGGCTGTGAATGATAACAACTATTGCTACATGCTACATGCTACTACTACTATTATAATGGTACAATATGACATCCTAATGTTCCTCGTCCACCCCATCCTTGTCGTGGTGTTAACGTCAATGATTGTTGTTGGTTGTCTTGACCTCGTGAAATAATGACAGGGATAGGAATGCCTTCACTACGGCCCACCAATTGGTTCAATGCTTGTAATCGATCATGGTTGGCTGCATGGATAGATCCAAATTTGATAAGCTTGTCTTCACGACGTAACCCTGCTTCATAGGCTGGAGAATCAGGTGCAACGGCATTGACACGTGCAAAAGGTACAAGTGATGGAGTTGTAGTAGATGACGCTTGTTGACTTGATGATGATGATGATGTGGTGGTGGTGGTGGTGGTGGTGGTGGTGGTGCCTGCTGCCTTTTCCTTTTCTTCTCGACTTGCTTGATGTATTGCATGCAAGGCTTGTTCAATCTCCTTCATGATATCCTTGTGGTCGTTTCGTAGTCGATGAATGAGATTACGAGAGGTACGTGCAGCAACAACGTCGATATCCGATCGTGGAAACCCACCCGCATCAACAAGAGGTTGATCCATACCCACGCCTTGAATGCGGAGACTCTCTTCAAGTTCACGTAATTGTGCCTCAATGTCGTCCTTTTTCTTGATGAGCTGTTGTGCTTCGGCAAGAAGGTCGTTGGAACCCATTTTCGGTGGTGGTAAACCCATGGAACAAAGATGATACAAAGAAGTGGGCTGCGGCCCTGCGGAGGTGTGATGTATAGTGTAGCATAAATCATCCTTTCATTGAGACACACACACACACACATCACCAATAAATGCTACATGATGCGGATATAATTCATGCACCAAGCAAATACACACACACACATCTAGTCATCAATGTAGCGTTGTTCAAAGGGGAGACGCGTTTCCAAGAGATCTACGGCCTGGATTATTATCGGGAACTTATGCGTTTGTTACCACCACCAGCAGTAAAAGGAATGCTTTCGATCCTGTCCATCGGGAATATTTTGCATGCCAACAGGATAAAAAAGCAGGTTGCCATCCACCCATCTCATCGTCTTTCAACGTGATTTTTTCCTTCACTCTTACGTTCCTTTATCACTAAATACTCTCTTTACACTCGTTTTTGATATTTCCACTCTTTCTGCGCGCGTGTCTCTACTACAACTACTACAACTACATACATACATATCATGAAGACTACTACCTATCTCGCCATTGCTGCTGCTTCCGCTGCAGTTGTTTCTGCCAGTATGTATCATCATCATCCCATGTTGTTGTGTATGTATCAAACCTTAATAACCTTGCATCATCATCATCATTATTATTACAGAGCCTGATGGTTGGGGTGAGGGCAAAAAAGAATGGGTCCCCGACTTTGAAAATGAAGATGAATGGGTTGAACGACCTGCTCTCACTGATCCCAACATTGAAGTGGAGACTCTTCCTCCTGTGATTGTTTACACCACCACCTATGCCACACGTGTTGAGCCTATCTTCCCTGTAAGTTTTTATTATGCAGCTGTAACAGCGTGTGTAACATTTTACTCACGTGTGTGTGTACCTTATTTTAGGGCAAGAAGGAAGGCTGGGGCGATGATGGTGAAGAAAGCTGGGGTGGCAAAGGCGAATGGGATGACGAAGAAAACGAATGGGGCAACAAGAAGGGCTCCTCTTGGGATGATGACAAGGAAGAAAGCTGGGGTGGTAAAGGACGCTGGAAGAACAAGAAGGGTGGCAAGAAAGGTGGCTATCGCAAAGATGATGATGAAGGCTGGAGTGGCAAGAAGAAAGGTGGCAAGAAGGGCGGCAAGAAGGGCGATTGGGATGACGAAGATGATGATGAATGGGACAACAAGAAGAAGGGCGGCAAGAAGGGCGGCTGGGATGATGATGAAGATGACGAATGGGATAGCAAGAAGGGCGGCTCCTCTTGGGACAAGGATGATGATGATGATGAATGGAGTGGCAAAAAGAAGGGTGGTTACCATGCCGCTTCTGCTGCTCCCTCAGCTGCTGAAGATGACGATATGATTGCTGCTGCCTCTGCTGGCATGTCATCAGCTGCTGGCGGTGGTATGTCATCCAGCGCTGCTGCTTCTGGTTCCGGTCATGGTGGTAGCTCAATGGCAGCACCCACTCGTGCTGCTGCTGCTACATCTTCAGCACAATCCTCCGCTGCTCATTCTTCCTCTTCCTCCTCTGCAAAGGCTTCTGGAAGCAATGGTGCTGGTAGCTCAGCTGCTGGTACCGTTCGTGTTGTCGGCTCTATGGTTGCTGGTTTGGCTGGTGCCGCCGCTTGGTTCCTTTTCTAAACATGTTCTTATCACTTGTCATGTTGCACAGCATACCAACTTAATGCACTCTCCCCACCTCCCATCTTCTTACATTTACAACACGCTGCTATTAATCTTCACACCTAATTCGACTCACCTCACATAATCATCCTATTGTTTCAAGCCCACCCACTCTTTTTCATCACACCTGGTTCTGCTGTTGATATCTACTACTACAACCCATTACTACTGCTACTTGTTTCTGTGAATCAAATTAAAAAAAAAGTGCTAGTTCACTTGGTTGCGTAACCTTATTGTGCCTTTATTTGGAATGACTTGGGCTTGTTGACTAATGTTATCTTTCTCTTTTACATATGGGCTATTCACTTGCGTTGTTGGTTGTAGGCGCTGCATTGTTAGCCAGCCATCTTTGTATGTTGATACTACCAAATCATCATCAACACCTCGCTTAAGTGTATACATATCTTTAGACCCATGGATACATCTTTCGGGATACCTCACCACGATAGAACCTACCGACAATAAGCAATGTCAAAGAATTGAGGGTACGTTGATTGTGCCTTGTCTCGTTCGCGATTGTTGAAATGGGGGTGTTGGATAGGACCACTTGGTTTCAGAAACTGCGAGGACATTATTATTGCCGCACCTGGTATTGCTTACACTAGCTGTGATCCTGCACGAGACTATGACAACATGGTGATGGATGTACATCGACCTAAGGAACGTGAAGAGCAAGGTCACGTGTGGCGTATTGATTACATGTCGGCAAGTAATAAAGAGTGTCTCCATGGCAACGCTATTCCTATAGTAACAAACCGTATATAGGATCCTCCCACTGTGCGCAAGATTTTTGAAGGATCTTCGGATTTTCACCCATTGGGAATGACTTTGGACAAGGATCGCTTATATATCATCAATCTCGCGCATCATGCACCTGCATCTGTTGAAGTGTTTGAAATAGTGTCCGATGCACTACGCCATGTGCAGACCATTCGTCATCCATTTATCCATACACCCAACAGCATTTCATCATGGGGCAACGATGGATCCTTTTTCTTTACAAACGACCACCATTTTATTCGTGGTATTCCCAAAGTCATTGAAAACTATGCACGTATCCCACTTGGTAGTCTTGGATTTTACAATGCAACATCGCAAGAAGCTTACAAGGTCAAGGGTGGTTTATTGTTTCCCAATGGCGTGGAGTGTGACAAGAGCCAGTCTACTGTATTTGTTGCCGAAACGTACAAGATGGAGGTGAAAAAGTATGCTGTTGTTGTTCAAGAAGAAGATGGCAAGTTGCAAGTATCAGCAGCGGCGGTGGATCAAATCAAGGTGCCTGGCACTTCAGTCGACAATTTGCATTACGATAAAGTTTCAGGAGATCTAATCATTAGTGGTCATCCAAATGGGCTTGCTTTGGTCAAAAAGTGTCAACATGCTACAGAACAAGAAAATGTACCCATGCCCCCCTCCCGTATCGTCGTATGGCACACTACTAGTACTACTACCACACATACGCAATCAAAGATGGAAACCGTGTTTGAAGATGATGGTACCACATACGGCTCAGCGTCCACAGGTGCAACAGACCACAAGAATAACAAGCTGCTCATTTCTGGACTCTATGAAAAGGGCATCATGATATGTGACCGATCACTGTAATACAAATATGGCAATAAACTGTGATTGTACAAGCAGAATCAGACATGATGAAGAAATGGTAACAATTTGTGTGTGTGTGCAGAGAATGCAAGATCTAATTGAAAGGTAGGTGTACATTAATCAGCATGCTGTAAGATGATTGATTCATGTTGCTGCTGCTTTTCTTCTTACCTTTATGTAATTATGGAATTCAGCCTTGTTCAATGAGATAACACTGACCCTCCTTACACTAAACGAGGCATTCATTAGCAACATCCAAAGGATAAAAGAAAGAAAGAAAGAGAGAGAGGGATTGAACTACTTACTAGCATACTTTCTCGTCCATTCTCTAGCGGTAGCATCGTAGCGTGCGCGATCAGTCTTGTAAATGTGAGCAAGCTCGGGCACAAGCGGATCATCGGGGTTGGGATCGGTGAGCAGAGAGCAAACCGACAGCAAAACTTTAAATCGGTAGAGGAAATAGAAAAAAAGAAAACCCTGTTACCAAAGAGATACTCTCTCTCACACATACGCCATGGTATATTTTGGGAGCCCGCTTACCCTTGGAGATTGTCAATGCAGGAGACCATTGATCTTTGAGGATATCCAAGCAAATGCTGCCATTGCTGTTGATGTTGGGATGATAGATTTTGGTGGTGAAGTTGATCTATGTGTGTATGTGACTGATAGTTAACATCATCCTTTTCCCTATATGACTCCCATCTACATCCCATCCCCCTCCCCTCACCACCACACACAAACACACTATCTCTTTTTACTCACCTTTGGAGGCTTGAAAGGATAATCAGTAGGGAAGTGGATAGAAAGGAAAAAGACACCGCCTTGATAGGGGCTATCCTCCTACAAACAAGAAAGGAAGGAAACCAGTCAATAGACCCATCTCTTTATCTCTCAACCATTACTTACAGGACCCATGATGGTTGCTTGCCAGTGGAAGAGGTCGTCACCAATAGGACCGGCTGAGCAGGACGATGGGGGGTCACGCTCGAGATCTTTCAATTCCTACATGACCGCCATTGACAAGTGAGCATTCAGAATTTGAAACGCAAGACGACTCCATCTGGTACAGGACAAGGCAGTGAATGGTCAAAGATGAACTTGTAGTGTTGGAAACATGGGCTAGCAAACGAATCGTCCGCCAACTGGGGACCAGCAACCCCTTGATGGAGCTCAATGTCGACACCCCCCAACAAGCACCAGTAGACCCGTTGATTGTGTGTGTGTACCACCGTTGACCCATGCGTAGCTGCCAGATGGAAGCCGAATGAAATAAGGATTGTCTTATCAACGTACCTTGTTAATTCGCTTGAGAGCCATTGCTTTTATCTACAGTTGAGTTGAAGAGTGGAAGTTGAAGAGAAAAACAGCTGCTCACGCCCGCAACGATTTTTCAGCCTTTCGCTCTCTGCTGCGCTATCCCAGTCGCCCAATCAACTTTTACACACATCCCTCTTTAATCGCTCTCTCTCTCTCTCTCTCTCGCTCTCCCTTGTCGCCCGCAGCAGCACATGTTTCTTTGTCCCATCGATTTGTGAGTGGTTACATCTCTCATTTATAGTTTCATGATAATAAACGGTCATCCAATAACTCGTTTTTATATTATTCAATGATGACATTCACTCACTCGCTTCTTACTCAACTACTATTCCAAATTCCTCAACGTTCTATACAATTCTACCACCACCACTCCTCCTCCCAGCATGTGCAACACACACCAAACACACATACACACATACACCCTTGAGACACACTCTTGTATATAAAGAAGATGTTTACCCTTGACAATAAATGCTCGTTTGTTCCTTGGATACCCCATATTGCTTTATTCACCAAAAAGAGAATTACGTGGGTATTATCTATTGCACCACCACCGCCATCACCATCATCATGTTGTAGTACGTAGTAGTTTTTAAGCATTAAATGTAAAAAAGAGTGATCCACCTAACACAAGTCCCATGTGTCCATTTTATTCCGGGTATGGTGCCGTGTTCCCGAAGCGTCAAGCATCTATCTTTGTGTCATGCTGCTGCTGTTGTGCTAACATTTTATCCCACGTGAGCTGAAAGGGCCACATGTCGTCAAGGCAAGAGGTCACATGGCACTGCCAATCCAACAACATCACCATCACCATGCCCTCCTATCATTGGAACTTTGGAATACTGGGGCATAAACACTCTTCTGAATCTTCCACTTGCATTGCCGGTACTCTTGTGATAGAGCTGATCTGACATGAAGACAATGGATCCAGCAGGTATGCATACAGGTGTAGCTTCTTGCTCCTTTTCAGGATCACCCAAGAGGATGGTGCCATTATGCTATTTTCTCGCTATTGTCAACCATCCATGACTCTTTGTAAAAAAACATGTCAGCCTTACTTGATCAACATCATCCAAAGCAATCCAACAAGCAATTGATCTTTCTTTCCTCAACGATTGATCCAGATACTCGGAATCCTATATCATCATCAATGAGTTAAAATTCTTCTCGTCGCCATAGCAACATGTTGTTTACTTGCCTGGTGCCATTTAAATTGGGATGTGTTCGATGTCCTTGGCGGCTTGACAATGAATTGCTCATTCATCTACATACCCACATCTATGATAAGTGCTTTGTCAAATAACAACCCATATACAAAAGCACCTACAAGATACACCACATCTTGATCCACGTGTAATAAGGATGCGGCCCATTTTGCAAGGGACCCAAGTATAAAGGCTGATGCAATGTCGTTATCCAAAATCTGATTTCGTCGCTGTTGATATGCTAGTGGATTGGTTTTGTAACTAGCCGATTCTGGCGGATCCAAAATGCCGCATGTCAACGGCTCTACAACAAAGAAAAAACCCAAATTTAGCCAGCCATTCATCGTTTATCCGTGTGCGGCATCCTGCTGCTGCTGCTGCTGCTCACCAATAACGCATCCAAATTCAGTATTAATATCCAAATCCTCTGATATCAGGTAATTGACAAGGGCGTCGGCTTCATTGTAGAGTGCTTCCAATTGCTCATGGGTCAAGGCTGCAATGCAAATGTTGTTGGCATGGCAATGGTAGAGAAGAATGGGGAGGGTGGTGGTGCTTGTTGGGACTTGCCATTGTAAAGTATTGTGTAGCCGTGTGTGCTAAAGTGCTCCAAGTGACTTTGTTCCAGAGATACCATATTCCGGAATTATCACCGCGGCGACTTGCTTATCACGAAGGAATGACGGAGGACAAAAAAGCAAGAGGAAGAAAACAACGAAACGCGGGGTTAGGTAGATCCTCTTTATGTATATCCGAGGCATAGGATAATCATCATCATGATGTGCATAGAAGGAAATAAACATCACTTACAGGACAAGGATCACTATTAAAGATCAAGTAAAAGAATGAGATGATGATGATTTTTGGTCGTTGTTTACACTTTTTGGTTCATTCATGGTGATGGGGTGATGGGGATATGATATTAAGGTGTCACAGAAATGACACATCTCAATGACACATATCTGACTTTGAAGCCCGAAAAAGTTTTAGATATGGAGGGAGAGGGGGGGAAACCCGAGCTCTTCCGCTCTTTCAAACAATACAACAAACCATGGCTGGTGAAAAAGGAAAAGTTTTGCTCGCATACTCTGGTGGTCTCGATACCTCTTGCATTCTCGCATGGCTCATTGATGAAGGTTATGAAGTCATGGCCTACGTTGCTGATGTTGGTCAAGAGGAGGACTTTGAAGCTATCCGTGAAAAGGCCTTGAAGGTCGGCGCCACTAAGGTCTTTGTTGAGGTGAGTTTGATTGATTGATCCCCACACAATGATGATGATCATGATACTAATTCAACAACACCACCATGATAATAGAACCTTAAGGAGGAATTCGTCAAGGAGTTGATCTTCCCTGCCATCCAAGCTAACGCCATTTACGAATCCGTTTACTTGCTTGGTACCTCTTTGGCTCGTCCTGTTATTGCTCGTAAGCAAATCGAGATTGCTGCTCGTGAAGGCTGCCAATTCGTTTCCCACGGCTGCACTGGCAAGGGTAACGATCAAGTTCGTTTCGAGTTGGCTTACTATGCTTTGAACCCTGAGATTCAGGTTATTGCTCCCTGGAGATTGCCTGGTATGTATACATGATGATGATTTGGAGTATATGAAAAAGAGTGGGATTCTTATACGTAGCCATGTTTTAGTTTTCTTCAACCGTTTCGCTGGCCGAAAGGATCTTCTTGCTTATGCTGCTGAGAAGGGCATTCCTGTTGTCCAAACCGCTGCCAAGCCTTGGTCCACTGATGAAAACTTGTTCCACATTTCTTATGAAGCTGGTATCCTTGAGGATCCCAATGTCACTCCTCCCAAGGATATGTGGAAGTTGACTGTTGATCCTGAGGATGCACCCAACACTCCTGAGCGTATCACCATCACCTTTGAAAAGGGTATCCCTGTCAAGGTTGTCAACCACAACGATGGCACTGAAGTCACTGAGCCCGTTGAACTCTTCACTTACCTTAACACGGTTGCTCGTCGTAACGGTGTCGGTCGTATTGACATTGTCGAATCGCGTTTCATTGGCGTCAAGTCCCGTGGTTGTTACGAGACCCCTGGTGGCACCATTCTCCGCACTGCCCACAAGGATCTTGAAGGTTTGACCGTGGATGGCCATTTGCGTGCTCTCCGTGACCAAAGCGTCACTATTCCTTACTCTCGCTGCCTCTACAATGGTCTCTACTTCTCTCCCGAATGCGAGTTCCTTAACCAATCTATTCCTTTGACCCAAACCAATGTCACTGGTGATGTCAAGCTCAAGCTCTACAAGGGTAACACCACCATTGAAGGTCGTGTTGCTCGTGGCCCTGGTGCTAAGCTCTATGACATGCGTGAATCTTCCATGGATGAGCAAGGTGGCTACAATCCCCAGGATGCTGATGGTTTCATCAAGATCCACTCCATCCGCTTGAAGAAGTGGACCCCCGCTGACAAGCAGTAAATAACATCAAAAAGCATCTTCATTTGTATAAAATCGATGGATCCCAAATCTGCATTGTAAAACGGCAATCATGTTCATAGTAATAAAAAAAACTGCCATCATGTATCAAAGAAGTTGGTTTATTCAGTGATGGATTCAAAGAGTGAGATGGGTCAAGAGAATGAGGAGATGAATCATTTGTTACACTAGGGCACCACCATTTTGTTGTTTCAACATTCCATTCATCTCTACGTACCAAGTTTATCCTAAAGGAAAGCTTAGTTGCTTTAAACAATGGCGTACATGCTCCCTCGTAGGTTGCTTCTCCCAACGCGGGATACTGCATAACACTGCACAAAGGTATGTCACAATGAAATTTGTACAGCCAAGGCATTACCCTTTGATATCACTTAAATAATAAGACGACAACGACAGTATCAATAGTGGTGGTTGATGTCCAATACAACTCTCGGCGTGTTTGCAGGACCGCGAAGATTGACATTTTTGTGTGTGTAACATCTGCCAACAGCAGCAAATCTTTTTTCACCCGTGTCTCTCTCTCTCTCTCCACATTATGGCCGAACATAGAATACCATTCACGAAACTGGTCCACAGCCCAGCCAAATCTCATTTGGCACTTGCCAATGGCAAACATTTCTTTATTGTCGATTCCTCGTAAGTTGGGTGGGGTGGGGGTGTGGGGACGCAACAACACATATCAAGCTACACTTTCTAAACGATCGATCCTCCACTGATAGTACGGGCAATGTGCTCAAATCCAACGATGCCAACGATCGCAAACAAGAGTACATGGATCTCTACCGAAATATGGCATTCAGCCAAGACGGCAGCCTTTTGGCAAGTGCTGGCGAGGATAAAAAGATCAACGTGTATGATGCCAACGACTGGTCCCTCAAGTATTCAAGGTAACATACATCTTTTCACCCATAGATTGTTTCTAAACAACATTCTAGGAACGCAGTGAAGCGTGTCAATGCCATTCAATTCAACAAGGATGCAAGCAAGATCGTTATTGCTGATAAGTTTGGTGATGTCTTTTGGTAAGTAAAGCGTATATATACATACATCCACATCCTTTAACACAAGCTCTATATAGCCACCCTGCCGAAAAGAGTGATGGAGAAGAGGAGAAAATGGCACCCATTTTGGGTCACGTCTCTATGATCACGGATATGGTAATGTTGGGAAGAAGAATAGGGACGTATGGTTGACATTGACACATTGCTGGTATAGACTTTGTCTGCCGATGAAAAATACGTGGTTACCGCTGATCGAGATGAACACATTCGTGTGAGCCGATTCCCTAACGGATACAACATTGAGAGCTTTTGCTTGGCACATACAGAGTAAGTAGATCAAGCTGAATGGACAAGGATGATTGGTTGATTGACGTGATCAAAAAGTGTTGTGACATCCGTCAAGGTTGTTCCCTGGTCTACCGATTTGTTGGTTTCCGCTGGTGGTGATAACACGGTTCGTGTATGGCAATTTGCTCAAGGCAAGGAGATGCAATGCTTCCCTACCAAGGAATATATCAGCAAGTACATCCCTGAGGTAAAACGAGATGGATAGGCTTTATTAATCCACATGTGCTAATGCTATTGGTATAGGCCACCGATGCAAACTCAAAGGAGCCTATTGTTTCTCGATTGGTTATTGATAGCAACAAGAAGATCATTGCTCTTTCATTTGCAAAGTAAGCCTTGTTTGGTTGTCGTGTAGCAAATTGACTTATATCATGCTAGGATACCTGCCATTTTATTGTTAGGCTGGTCGGATGATAACAAGCTCGTATACAAGCAAACGATCGAGACCCAGGTACCCGTGTTGGATATTTGCTTCGATCTCAAGGGTTCCTTGTGGGCTTCTTTGGCTCCCACTGGAGATGCTTTGATGGCTATTTTCGAAGGAGATAACGTAAGTGTGCTTGAGGGTGGGGTATCCATGTGCAGTCATCATCTAATGATGGGTTTTTTTTTCTCTCTCCCCCATTAGTTTGATGCCGTATCAGAAAGCGATTCTCGTCTCAAGCAGGTGAATGAGATCCAAGTTGGTCTTGGTAAGTTTGCAAAAAAGATACATGACGCGATTGATGTCTAATAGGAATGATTTTATTAGTGGATAAGGAAATTGAACTCTACAGTATCTTTGGTCTTCGCAAATTGCTTGATCTCCCTGATTACGTGCAAACCCCTGCCGAGCATAAAAAGAACAAGAAGCGGAAGGTTGCAGCCGAGTGAATGCGTTTTCTTTAAATATATAAAAAGTTTTTGAAAATGGTTTTACATGGCAATACCGGGTATCAACAATGATAAGATTAAGGGGGGATGGGTGTGAGTGTGTGTTTTAGCTGAGGTCTCTATATTCTGGGTTTTCCTCAATGTCCACAAGACGAGTCGAGTTGCGCTTGCTGGAATGGATTGGCAATAGTTCACGATCATCTTCACTGTTACGTTGCGATGATAACGTGGATGCGGTGGGAATTTCAATTTCAACAGCGTCAGCATCCGTTTCCATGGCCAAAGTAGGATCATGTCCACTACTACTTCCAGCATTGGTGATAGGATAATGGCTGATGCTACTACTCGTAACACCACCAGCACCGCCTGTAGTTGTTGTAGGAGCAGCGCTTGTACCCGTCAATCCTGATATCAAGTTGCCGAATGCTGAATCACCTCTTCTATGTTGATGAAATCCAAATGTTTGTTGCCAAGTAGGCGATGAAGGTGGTAACTGGATGGGTTGTTTGGAGTTGCTGGGTGTTGGCACGGGTTCTTCATTCATGCGATCCACAAGTTGAGATGTAAGTGAGATACCCCTGAAAACAGAGCTGCGTCGTTTACGTCCTTCACGTCTATTGCTTGTGGTATTGGTATTGCTGCCACCCGTAATGCCACTGTTGGTAAGGGTATGCCAATCTTCATGGGTAGTGGGTGTAGATGTGGTAAATGCGGCACTGAGACGATTGGTATTCAAAGCATCATGCGATGAAGGTGGCATCGATCGTCGATTATTGTATGTAGGATCTGCCGTAAAATGAAGACTTCGTCTATTGGTTGTTGCTGCCTCTTCATCAATGGGTTGATTCTCAGGGACATAGATGCCTTCATCTCTAGCAGTCGTACTCGTATCAAAATCAACAAGCGTATCATCTGCATGAATCGATAATCCTTGTGGCTGCTTGTTGCGCTTCGAAGTGATAAGGTATACGCCAAGAAATTCAATTGCACAACCGGTCATAAACCTATTATCCTATCAGCATCATCACCCCAACCAATAAAGCATATCCTTAACACTTACCGTGACGTTTGGTCCATGCTCATATCATCAAAGTCGTGGTAGAGTACAGCACTGCCGATAATGGCTGAGATGGTGAAAAGCACAAATTGGGTGGGTATCACTTCTGTCGAATCGAATCGTTGCAATGCCTTGTTCAAGTATTTGATTTGCAAAATCGCTGTCATGACCAAGGTGACCATAAGTAGGTAACTCACAGGATAGCTAATGTTAAGGTTAGCAAAAGATCGTTTACAGCCATCCATCCAATGATACGTACGCAAACATTTTGAAGAATGTCAAGCTGAGTAATGATGCAACGCTCTTGGTACATAGTACAGTGTATCCACCTTTGTAATCATAGCAATGCATTAATTGATATATGCAAGACAAAATGGTTGCACGAGGCGCTTACCATAAATAGCGACGAGACCAAGGTCAATCATGATGCTACGAGAGCCATACATGGGAGATAGACCGCTGAGGACAGCAATTGCAATACCAGTGATGGCAAAATAAATAATGGATTGTGTTTGTGTCAATGACTCCATGATCAATTCGGGAGAAAGCTGTTTTAAAAACGTGGCATTAGTTTTTTTTATTGACAACAGCCTGTTTCATGTTCCTTACCGCTGTTTCTTGTGCGTTCGAACTCAGCACCACCATAGCAGCGCCGAGCACAGCCAAACATACTCCCAACAAGTCTCGCTTCCGAAACACTTCCTTCAACATCAAGGGCGCCAAAATGACATTCGATACAAGTGTGGTTGTCCCCAAGGGCGCAATGGTGGATGCAGGTGCAAAACCGTAAGCTACAATGGCCCGTTTAAAAGTCTTGGCTTTTTTTTCCCTTGTACCATCATCATCCCTATTCCACTTACCGACAAAATTGCCCACTTCACCAAGCACCATTAAGGATATACCGAGCCACCATAACTTTGACTTTAGGTAATCAGAGTCACCCCCTCGCGTTTGTTCTTGTGCCATTGCCATGATGAATTTCTGGTGCTCGAGTTCTTCTTCTTCAGAGCGTGGATGATCTTCGGATGATCGAGGAGAAGAATAGCCATCGTCAGGAAAGAAAGTGCTGCTTGAGTAATTGGATTGTCCAGTTGATATCCACCTTGGAGGCTCGTCCATGTTTGCAAAATACTTTGCCATTTGGGATTCTTGTATCTTGTTATGCTAATAAAGAAACACACACACGTCAATATCTCTTCCGTTGCTATGCAACGACGACAACTACTCACTGCAAGCTTTTGGACATTGAGAGCAACCGAGATTAAGACCTAAGAGCGGGGACATGTTGGAATGACGTCGATTGGCAGGCAGCCAGCAGAGCAAAACCTACGTTGCCACAAACAGAGACGACGACGCCAATGAAGGTATTGAATGCCACATCGTTGTTGTCTTGTGCTGGTGTAGTGGTGGGAGGTGGAGGTTGTTGCTCCATAACGAGCACGTTGCTGGGCTGATATCCTTCAAAAGAGAGAGGGAAAGAGAGGGAAAGGAAGAAGAGCGTATACAGAAACGTGCGGAGCTGGTGGCTTCCCATGCATACAAGAGAGTGACACAATCCTCTTTGGTTACCACGACCAAGGTTGCCCTATTTGACCAAGACCATAACGACGCACGAGCATCAAATAATCTTTGTGTCGTATCCATTGGCTCGTATTCAACTTCCCGCCCAGATACTTTTCATTATATTTCTTTTTGCAACCTTTCACCCCTGATCGTCGTGTTTATTTTCGGTTCTCTTTCTCTTTTTTCTCTCTTTTTTTACGTCCCTTCAAGTGCTGCAACGAGTACTTCATCTCGGAAGCATTCTTTTCCACAACAAACAATAGCCCTGAGGCACAATGAGCGTTCTGGCAGCAGTAGCTTTCCTTAACGGTGATGAAAGCCAACCACAACAACCATCATCACCCAAACCCGTTGATCAGCCTACGACTACAACTACGACCACTACTCCAACTCCAACTCCAGCTCCCGTGCCAGCACCACGTAAAATAGACAATAATGAAAAACCGACAACGGCAGCGGCGATTCAAGAATTAAATCGGATTCGTACAGGTGGTGGTGCTGGTGTTGCTTCACTCATGAGCAAGTTTGGTCAAGATGCCCCTCCTCCCAAACGATCCATCTCACCCAATAAACAGCCCCAACCTATTAGCAAGGCTGCTCCTACACCTCCAAGGACACCTTCTCCTACATCATCCAATCAATCGAGTACTTTTGAAAAGGCTTCTTCTTCTTCATTATCTTCACGTGGTACACCAGCACCAGCATCCGCTTTGGAATATCGTAGCACAAAGACGACAGCACAAACAAAGATCAGCAACAGCCGTGTGAATACTCGAACCAATATTGATATGATGATCGAGGAGCTCACCATCATGTATCAGCAATCCCTGGATGAGTGCAAGGAGGCACAACAACAATTACAGCAACTCAAATCTGAAGCTGAAACGTATGAAACAGATTCCACTAAAGTACGTGATTACGAGATTCGAGTAGAATACCTTGCACAAAAGCTTGAACAAGTATCCGATGAACGTGATGCTTTGGAACAAGAGCTTGCTGGTTATCGTGCCAATCGTAGCAACATTGAGACACCTGTGTCTCCTGTATTCCAACACCGTTTATCCGATATCTTTGACAAACGCTCATCAGCAGATCAAAACGAGGATCCACATGAAAACGATGAAAGCAACAGCGAATTCATGCATGGTTTACTTGATGCTTATGAAGAAGAAGACGAAGAACAAGAGGAGAATGAGGAGCAACAAGAAGAGCAATCCATGTCACCTCAAGAGCATATCAAATACTTGCAAGAACAACTCAAGGCGAGTGATGTTGGAACCAAAATGGCTGTGCAGCAATACCTTGCCGAACTTGAAAAGGAGCGAACGGAGACCAAGGCCTTAAGGGATGTTGTTCGAAAGCAAGATGAATTGATAGCAACGTTGGAAAGCAAAATCATCAACAACAACAACACACCTAGCACCACGCCTGTTGTTTCAAGACCACCACGCAAAGCAAGTCTTGCTAGCCCCACCTACAAGTCATCATCCAACAATGCAGCTTCAGCAGCACCACCTCTTCCCAACCAAAGCAACGTGGAGCGTCAATTACGTGAACAACTTGAATCACAACGTCTCGAGCTTGAAGATAAGCGTGCCCTGTTAACGCAACTCCTGAATGAGCGTGAAGATATTCTTAAAAAGGCCAAAATGAGTGGAAATGGGGGTCGCCCTGGGGCTTCATCCTTTGATCTACTTGCAGAATTGGCACGTCCACTTGATAACAATAATGGCCGCAACACACCTCCACCCACAGCACCGCCACGTGATCCATTACCACCTGTGCCCAACAATGCAACATCACCTTCCTCAGGACGTGAATCCATGCCATCCATGCGTGATGATGCCTCTTCGGTGACTTCTTGGTCAGCTGCATCCGCCTCAGCATCTGCAGCAGCCGCTGCTGTTGACAAGCACAATGATAGTGTGAATGATTTCGAAGCCATGTATGCCAACTATTTGGATTCTTCTGAGGATGCCAATGAACATCACTTGTTAGCCTTACGACGTCTTGAAGGTCCAGAACAAAGATCGCAACCAACCCATTGATAACTAAACTTGCTGTATATTACAACTTCTCCTTTTTCTTTTTCTTGTTCATCTTTTACTACTTTACACCGTTCCTGAGATCTCTTTTTTTTTCTTTGTACAGAATCACACACTCTAGTAGTCGTTGTTATCTAGTAGACAACAACAACAACAACCCATTCCTCTCTCACGCTTATTATTACACCACAATCCAACAAAAAAGAAAAAATAAACACAATTTTATATTCCATATGTATAAATCGATCATTTACTTTGTCTTGTTCAACTTGTGAGTAGTAGCAGCCAACTTTTGAGTAAGAGGATCGATCTTGGGATTCAACTTGTCGAGTTGTTTGTTCTGGCTATCAATTTCCTCATTCATAGTCAAGGCCATATTCTTGAGACGTGCAGTGGCACCACCCAACAAGTCCAAGTTTTGATCAATTTCATCCTCAATAGCATCATCTTCCTCATCGGCTTCAAATTGATATCTTCGGCGATCCGATTCAGAGCGGCCACGGCTATAACCTGCATTGGCTGATACACGTTCATTGCGCTTTTGGGCTTGTTCAAGACGTGCATTGGACTCATATTCAAATTGACGGATACGATCACGTTCTTCCATATGTTCTTGTTGATCACGTTTCAATGCTTCCAACTCACGTTGCTGACGCTTGTTGCGGGTAAAGGGGTTCTTGACAACAGGGATGAAAATGGATCGGTTTAATTGCTTGAGTTCATCAGCTTGATTGGCAGCCCGATCTGAGTATGCCTTGGAAAGGTCGAGGTTGCGATCCACATTGGCAATTTGAGCTATTCAAAAAAGAGTGTGAGTTTATGCTATAGGCATCCCACCGTGGTTGCTATGGTGATACTTACTGGATTGTTGGCCAAGCATGTTCATGGTATTAGCTGCTGTTTGCTCGGTTTCATGGATCTTTTGAAGAGCATTGCGAGTACTAGCAAGGGTATCCTGCTTGACATTACGGATTTGTGTCTTGATATTGCCCACTTCCTCATCCTCCTCTTCTTGTTGTTGTTGAGCATAGCGAGAGCCGTATTGATCATCATCATAACCACCACCATAACGACCACCAGCAGGAGCTCCTCCTCGAGAAGGACGATCACCAAAGAGCTCGTTGCGTTGTTGTGACTCATATTCAGCATCATTATGACGAGTGCCGTATCGACCACCACCTCGAGATGGGGCTGGTGAGCTTGAGTAAGACGGAGGATATTCGGATGCTGATGTCGAACTGTAACTGGCAGCAGGCGTGCTACCGACATCAGAGGATTCAAATGGATTGGTGGAAGCAGATGACTCTGAAGGTGAGCTCTTGTCTTTTTTTCTCCAAAACATGGTAGTAGTTGGGTTGTAGTCGATGCGAGATTTGAAAAAGGAAGGGAAAGAGGTGTCAGAGGATGTCTTCCGGCTGAGGATGAAGATTGAATTTATTATTGGCCATGTTTGTACCTGCCATTTTGGACTCTTCCAACGAGGTTGCTCTATTTTTATATCATGCTTGGCTAGCAACTCACATGACACATCTTTGACAGAAGGCCATGGTCATTGTATCTTCAAAATTGCCAAAACAGAACAAGAATCCTTGGTTTCCACGTATCCTTTATGATTCGCCTTTAGCTTGACATGCCCTTTAGAGAATTGTTCTTGAATAATTATAAAGATGCATCTCTCTTCGCTTTGAAAATCAACATGCTGCAAGATACTAAGTATCCCTATTACAAAGATGCATTTATGCTAAGCGTGATCCTGATAAGCCCTGCATCATAACCTTCAAATCCATATACCTCGGTACGAATCGAACAAAGTGCATATCAAGAAGGGGGAAACGTCGACATCGTGGTATCCACGCATACATAGATCACAGCCGATGGCATACCACTCTTACCGGTATGTGCATCATCAACAAGACGATTTGGTTTTACCTTATTGAAAGAGAGAAATAGAAGGTAGCAGCACTATTGGTTAGACCACACACATGGATAGCTCACAAAGAGGTTTATCCACCATGCTACATACATACTCGCATTAACTTCTCGGGCTTTGCAGGCATCATCAATCAAAGGGCGACACGATGGAATAAAGAGATGTGTGGTGGCAGCATCATATCCTCGTTTACATTTGCACAATGGATGTGGGTATTTCTCTAACCATTTGGTGCCCTCAAATTCCATGAAGTAAACGTAATTCATACACACGTTATCGCGCTACAAGGTTACAGCAACATGTGCGAAAGTCTAAATCAACTCTTTATTGTTTATCTAAGAGCCAATCTAGTCATATCGACTTTCATATGTTGTAAAGAAACTTCTTGTCGGGGGTTGTAGGATTGGTTTTCCCCATGCGTTATCCACAACGACCACCCGATCTTGTGGTGGTGCATGCAGCATCATGCCATGCGGTGGATGCCTCAACGTTAACGCGCATCCCGGTATTTTCTTCACCTCGCGATTTTCCACACTTTCAGATTTGCACGTGCCGTTGAAAAATACTGGATCCATCAACAGCACCGACTCAATAGGCGAATTGAATTCAGCACGTTATGGGATTTGCAACTGGTGCTATAGAAGATTCACCCCAATGTAGGATCACTCCTCTGGCTTGTTGGTGGATGTCAAAAACGAGCTCTGCTAGGAGCGGCATGCCGTAGAGAACCAGCTCTGGCTTGACATTATTGAGCAAATGACCTTGAGACCAACGTCTACCGCCCATTCGCAAGCGTAAGAGGTTGAAGGACATATGGTGAAAATGCCCTAGCATGCTCATGATACGTCGGCAACAAGCTTGCATCCTAGTCGTATTGATCGCTATGATCTTTTGGAGTTACGTCCATAGTGGGTACAACGGGACTAGTAGAATGTCCCCCTAATCCCACCTCCAGTGTTGGGCCGTGTAGGTAGTCAAACCGCATGTACTGTAGTCGTGAGGGCGTATCCCAAAAACCCATGCTCTTCGCAGCACAGCGTATAGTAGGACATGTACTTCCATAATCGCGTTCGGTTATATGGGAACTATCCTTAGATATTAGACACCTTGTTCTTCTTCCCGAGTATGTATTGCTTCTTACATACAATGAAACGCAAAAGATCATAAATGTTAGTAAATACATCGCTCACAACGAGGATTATCCATTATGCTATATACTTACAACATCAACTCGGGCATTGAAGGTGTCAGCAATCAAGTGGAAGAAAGAGACATGTGGGTGGGAGAATGGGCGACGACATCTTTATTTATACGTGCATGGTGTGATCAGGGGCCAGCTTAACTTTGATTTATAAATTCTTTGTTCCATCTTTTACCAAACACTTATGTACATACCTAGTTGCGCGTACTCACTAGTGTTATCAATCACGCACACCATCTAAACCAGAACACATGGCGTGCGTTTGTATTTTGATGACCACAAAAAGGAGGGAAGAGTGATAAGAAGTTCATTGAGAATGGTGATGTACCTCAAGGCTTTGGTGTTATTGAATGTCCATATTTAGAATATGCTTTATTCCTCGTCAATTAGAATCCATAATGGAACATGATTTGATTGTCTACATGCATAAATCAAGATCTGAAATAAACAAGACAGCGATATCCATCATCGAACAACAATGCCATCCATCGGCTAAATATCAGGAATCACTTGCTGCTGTGCTCAAATTCCGCAAAGTATGGCGTTGTTCAAGGTCGTACATACACCATAGATAAATGTCGAATGCTTGACCATCGTTTTACAACTGGAATGGAAGGTTACTTGGTGATGAACAGCTTCGAGAGACACATAAACATTGGCAGCATCAAAAAATATGGACACTTGTTGTAGCTGACATGATCCATCCATAGAAGATGTGTATTGGAAGCTAGCCTTTAAACGAGTTGCCCATAACGATAACCACCAGAGAAGCGCACATAGGTTGATGGTCGAAAAAATATAAAAGTTGTTGCTTGTCGCTGATGTGATCCACTTGTAAGAGCCGTTCATTGTTGCCAGGCAACCAAGCTGTATTAGTTGATAGGATAGGCTCCAAAGCAATGAACGTTGCAGCTTGTTGCTGACATGATCCATCCATAATAAAAGACGTGAGCTGGCAGATGTCCATTAAAAAAGTTGCCGATAGTACGAGCCACCATATGATAGATAAAACTTGTTGACACCAAAGAATAAACAGACGTTGTTGATCGTTGTTGACATGATCCACCCATAAGTGATGTATTGTACGTCGATAAATGTTCTTCAAAGGAACTTGTACCAAAACGACATAGTCGTCTTCCCAAGACAGTCCAGTAAAATGGCTTTCTTGATGTGGCCCCTTGATGTAAAATATAACTGAAAGAGACCCTGCCATTGTATTTCTTTCGTAAGCACGCTTGAAGGTCACAGAACCAGAATGAACACTTTTACCTTGGTGTTTATCTCCATCCCGTCCATAATTTGTTGCTGCTGTTTCATTGTAATCCTCGTTAATTAACATTCTTGTATTGTAGATCTAATACTGTACATACCAGTGAGACAATGTTCAGCGTCATTGCTTTGTGATCAATAACTTATTGCTGCCACAGGTACCATCATCCACTATGTCCAGTCTACCATAAACGCGATGTAAGATAACAACCACAGTATTTGCTTTTCTTGTCAGCATACCCAAAAGAGGTAATGCAAAGACGTGTCGAGATCTCCCCTTGTGTAGCAGCCATGGAACGAGTATGAACACGCCACACCCTTTTGAATCTTGTATGAACGAGAGAACACCAACCTACATACGAACTTTAGTGTCACAATGTTGAACTTGAAGAATAAAGTAATGCAGCGATTGCACGTACATGCCGTATTGGAATGGGAAGCTTGAGTCATGGGCAGATCGCGCGTGCTTGTTGCCTTGGAAAGTGTCGCCATTGACCACCTGTTCACCCAATTGACGCTGTACATTGAAAGGAATGCCGGCTGTTAATGTGTTGTAGTATGTAAATGGAGTTACTCTTACCTTGCTTTGTGAAGCGGGAGAGGAGAAGAAGGTCTTCGTCGCGTTCCCTTTCGTTGTTCTCTATTTGTGCACTCCACACCATCCCCGCTTGTTGCATCTGCTGTTGTTAACATGCACCTCAATAATACCCTGAATACTTTGGATAAATAATAGTACCATAGCTTGAGTTTTCATATGAAGCATAGCACTCATAGTTAAGCTATTCATAATCTTACTGTGATTTGAGGTAGCGCCAATTGGTCCGTATACCATCATCAATGCAGCTCCATGCCTGAGCTTGTGCAACCAACACATGTTGACTCCCATACCAAACATGGAGAAAGTTATGTACGTGTACAAACTCATTACTATTGTCATAATGGATAGCATCTCACGATCGGATGCTGTTTACCCATCTTCCAAAGGCAACCATCATCATTCATGCAGCAACCTGTCGACGACACATGTGTGTAACATCACGTGTCGTTTCACTCAGCTCTT